AATCCTGCTCATAGCTGTTGTTTCCGTCCCCGACCTGCAGGAAACATGCCAAAAGATGCCAGTTTTTCTATGCACAGCTTGCTGGTCACTCACTACCTGAACGGTGCCTGGTACCCGAAAGGCGGAGCCACTGAAATCGCCTACCACATGATCCCCATCATTGAGAAGGCAGGTGGCGCCGTGCTAGTTCGAGCCCCGGTCAACCGCATCTTGTTCAATGACGCCAAGGAAGCTTATGGTGGGTGTGATTTCCTGTAACGTAGTCGTCCCGCAGCTCTAACGGAGAGAAGACTCACTGTTTGTTTGTCTTTGTGGTTTCAGGTGTGAGCGTCATGAAAGGCCAGGAGGAAGTACACATCCGTGCCCCGATGGTCATCTCCAACGCTGGCATCTTCAACACCTACCAGAAGCTGCTGCCCAAAGACCTGCAAGCAATGCCAGGTGGGAAATAAGTGCCTTTTGGTTATTTATCAGTTAAAGTCAGTCTAGAACAGTATTTCCCGACCTTTTTGAATACACTAAGGACCCCTGACTAAGTCACATATTTAATATTTCATATCATATTCCAAACTGTATGAACCAATGAACCCAAGAAGTTTGTGTAAAACGAGTGATTTGGATGAATTTGAGCAGATTATTTCCTGTTTCGGGAACTTTTTATACAATTCTTTGTCTTTATTATGTATTTTTTAAATCATTTTTAACACTCATACAAACTTAATAAGCTTCAAATTCAGTGTTCTCTTGTCCCTGGTGCTTGGCCATTGTTCTATTAGACAATTTAATTTACTTCCCTCACACTTGAGAGTCTGAGAACAGAGATCGTTCAGCATTTTTTCCTCGACAGATGAGTTAAACACACACGTTGCTTTTATCTGTGAGTTGTTGGTAAAGTTGTGCTGTGTGCTGTGACTCTCCTTTCCATGCAGCCATCCAGAAGCAGCTGAGTATGATGAAGAACGGTGAAGGTGGCCTGAGTGTTTTTCTGGGTCTGACTGGAACCAAAGAGGAGCTGGGCCTGAAAGCAGACAACTACTGGATCTTCACAGAGAACAATTTCGACGAACTGTACGTCGTATCTGCTGCTTGTTACAGTTCACTTTTGAATTCTGGACAAACATAGACCTGGTTACTGAAATAAAGGAACTTCTGGACACTTAAAGTCAACATACAAATCACAATATGACTGAATAAAACTGTTGTATTTTTATTATGTGCACCGACTGGGTGAATTCAGGTGGAAGATATGATCTCTTATTGAATATAACTAAAACATGCATAGTGAAAAAGTTACTACACACATACATAAGTTTCTTTTGGTCCAGTTTTTTAATAGAAAGATGTCTCCCTTTATAAAAATAAACTATATATTTAAATATATTACGTGTACATTTTCTTTGACAGGGTGGAGACCTATCTGAAGGGAAAGCGGGAAGAATCTGCTAAGAGTGTACCTCTCCTGTTCGTCGCCTCCCCGTCGGCTAAAGATCCAACCTGGGAGGAAAGATCCCCGGGTACAGCAACGCGTTGCAGCATACACACAGTGAGCGTTGGGTTCATGCACGAGTCGTAACAACTGCCCTGTTCTTTCTCTAGGGAAGTCCACCTTGAGTCTGGTCAGTTTCGCCAACTACGAGTGGTTTGAGGAGTGGAAGGACGACAAGGTGACGAACAGAGGGCCCGAATACAAAGAGCTGAAACAGGCTTTCATTGACTCCATTCTGGAGGTGGTTATGGGCGTCTTCCCCAAGATAACCAGAGACAAGGTAACGTTTTTTGAATCTGCCTGTTGGCCTCTCGCTGCTCATTAGCTTCCTTACAGTAAGGCATTACTAATAATAATATTACAGTAAGAGTAGTAACTAGTTACAGCCTTAATTTTGTTGTTGCTTATTTAAAATCCAGCAGTCCAATCACATCCCTGGATTCAGTTTTTAAATCATGCACGTCAACAAGCAGGGAACAAGCCTGGAAGACGGAAAACTGCCTGGAAATATTCAAGATTACTTTGATTTTAACAAACAAAAGTGGATTTTAATGGTGGACAGCAGGCTGCAAGCAGCAAAGAACCAATTAGTTAATTAATTAATTTAAATATGATTGAAATCGCAATATGGCCAACTGTAAAATATCAATCGCAGAAGCTGTAATCTATAAAGAAGTCTACAAAAGTCTTCAAATAACAGAAGTTGTTTAAAAGATTGAGTCTCGTCATCACTTTGAGCCAGTTGTGCTTTTCATGCAGCCTCTAACTTTGATCAGTTCAGAGGCTGCATTAAAACAAAAGCTGCACTCACTGGCCGATTACCTTGACATTCACACAGAGGCGAACACGCTGAAGTCTGAAGTTTGGGGAGAAAGGACACAATTAACAATTTTGTGAGGTGTAGCAGAAAAGTTCTATAACTACTGGTGTAACTAATTACTGTTGGCAGGTAGTAATAAGAGATTTATCACAAACAGTAGGCTCAGGTAGGCTGCTCCTCCCATTCTTGGGTTACAACCGCTTTATCTCTATAAATTCATCATAAAATGCGGGAAAATCTTTGTCCTTTTGTTCCCACGCCTCCTTATTTTTTATTAACAGTCCGAACTGAACTAAAAGAGCTTCTATGTGTGCTGCTCCCGCTGGTTTAAACCTTCTGCAACTTAAAACAGTTTGGTTCCCTTTCTGTGAATTTAAGTCAGTGCTGCAGGAACACTGTGCTCTCCCAACGGCTGCTGATGTTTGGGGGTAATATTAATAATTGTTTGATTGTATTAGACTTGGTCTTACTCATTTGATGGGGCCATTTTAGACAGGTTCTAGATTTCGTGACATTATTGTGAACTATTATAGTTTTATTTTATGTTTATATTGTTGCCTGTCTTAGCCAGGAACTATGGCTGCACAATAGGATAAAAAAAATGTATATGACATTACTGTGGGAATGATATCTCAAATGTAGTTCTTTCTATTAAAATCAAGATAATGTGACATTTATTGGTTTTCTTACATCTAGAGAACAAAATTTGCTCATGCTCAATGCTGTTTGTCACACATTTTACCAAAACATTGCAGCTTCTTCACCCTAAAACTTTAAAACTGTTTATATTTTAAATCTGTATATTCACACTTGTGTGTGTGTGTGTGTGTGTGTGTGTGTGTGTTTAGATTGAGTACGTTGACGCTGGAACCCCCATCACAAACACGCACTATATCGGAGCCCCCAAAGGTGAAATCTACGGAGCGGATCACGGCGTCGCCCGTTTCAGCCCTGAGCTCAACGCTACCGTGAGACCTCAGACTCCGCTGAAGAACCTCTATCTGACAGGTGAGTCCGTCTGTGCGGCACCAGCCAGAGATCTCTTATAATTCCTGCCAGCTCTGAACCAAAATGAGCATTTTGTGGTGTTTTTTTTCTGTGTGTGTGTTGCAGGTCAGGATGTGTTTTTGTGTGGCTTCGCCGGCGCTCTCGCTGGGGCTCTCACCTGCGGCTCGGTTATCCTCAACCGCAACCTCCATCTGGATGCCATCGCCTTGGCAAAGCAAACTAAATTCACGAATGCCAAACTGAAAGGGGAGTAAACAGCCTGAAAAACATTTGGTTATATACTGTAATTAATCAGTACCGTCAAACCCACAAATACCCCGTGTGAGGAGGCTCAAAGCGCCCCGGCACAGACTCCCAGATTTCATTTAACAAATGAGTTATTATTGCTACACCCGGCTCATAAACACTAAGCTGTGTTTGTACTTTAAAATATGCATATTTACACTGATTCATGCTTGAATACTCAAAGTTTGTGAGTAAATGTAAGAGGTGGGATGTTCTGACTTCTGAGTAATGAGGCACTAATCAAAACAAACATGACCTCAACTGTTGATGCAAATGCTTTTAAGAAACCATTCACCATGTTGTGTACTATGCATACTCTTAATAATGCCTTTTGCTCTTAACTCCTGTGCCTGTGGTGTGTTTGGATTTTTCAGTTTGTAACAGGTTTACGAAGAGTGCTGCCTTTTTAATATTAAAGGGTACAAACAATGAATTTATTGCTGTCTCTTTTCTTTGGTGTTTTCACTATATTTGGTCATTTAATTTACCTTGTTTTAACACCTGAATGTTACATATATGCAGGGTTGGGAGGGATTACCGAGTTAGTGACTTAATCCATGTATCACAATACTAAAGTAGTGTAACTTAATTGCTTTTCATTACTTTTTGGATAAATTCAACACCAAATATGCAAATAAAAACGAGAAAATAATCATCAATAAGATGGGGAAACTAAGATTTAACATTTCCCCACTGCACTCAGATTATAAAAAACAATAATTATATTAATAATTAGGGATCTTACATATTACAAGAGCAGTTTTACCTCACAAAATATATTTAAATATCTTTTTTTTATACTTTTTTCCCCACTAATAACATCTGATGGGCCACATTTACAGCTAGAAAGCAGAACTCATACTGTGCCCTTTTAATGCTTTAAATACAAAATAATTGTAATTTTACATACATTTTGAAATTGTAATCCTATTAATAATCCCCCTTTTTACTAAACTGTAATCTCATTACATGTTTTTTCTCTTACTGTAATGGGATTACAGTTACCTTTTACTCTCCAGGCATCAAGCCTGTTGACGAAATGAGGAATAAATCAAATATTGTTCATTCCCACAGCATCCTATCTAAATATTATCAAACAGATTCACTTTGTTTAACTCTAAACAGACTTTTTTTTCAGCCTCATTATTTATAAAACTCAACTATTATTTTACTGTAAATGTTAAATATCAGGAAACAACCTTCTTCCCCCCAAACTCTTGTGTTTATTTGTTTGCTTTTGTTGTTTGTAGTCGCTGAACTCGGTGCATTGCCTTGCACCTGAACGCAGCATGTAAAAATTGAGCTTTCTGATTAGTTGGCGAATAAAGAAAGGGGGTGTGATTGAGCCATAATTTTCTGCAGGCTGCAGATATATTGCATCGACCATTTGCTGCGGGCGGCTGCATGGAGGCCACAGTGCGCTCGGCAGTCTGAGGTAAAGTACAAACCGAGCACAAATCCAACGCAATCAGCTGTAAAACGATGTTATTACAGCTGATAAATACCTCTTAATGCTTAGTTTAACCTGCAATAATAAGTTTACTCCAATTGTCTGGTAGCTAGCTTACTGTCTGACTTAAACTGAGTGATGAATGCTGATGGAAAAAAACTTCTTTAACTGTTTCTGGCACATGCGTTTAATTCTCCTGGAAGGTTCAGCTTTCATTTATCCCGGATTCATTTTGGGGAAGCACCATGGAGGTCTGCGCTAAGCCTCTGTGCTACGAGCTGCTGGCAGAGGTCGGGGAAGGCTCCTACGGTAAGGTGTATAAAGCCAGAGAGGCGGGGGGCAAACAGCGCCTCCTGGCGGTGAAGAAATTCAACGTCTGCGCAGACGCGTCGGAGACCGGGATCCCTGCGTTCATGATCCGCGAGGTGGCGCTGCTGCGTAAAATGAAGTACTTCAACCACCCCAACATTGTGAAGTGAGTTTATATGAGTTAGAGAAAATGGCAATCACAATGTTAAAGTAACTTGGTTACTTTTCCGTTACTTTTGGATCCAAAATCAATCAGAAGTATTGTAACGACGATGTAACCTTTAAATAGAAAATGGGAAAGATTTTAGCTGCTTAAATGTGTCCTCTGCTTACTTTATCTTTAAAATCCTGCTCAATAATCCTGTAATCTGATTACTTTTTTCCCCTGCAACTGTCATGGATTACAGTGCTTTTTTTGTGTCAGTTACATGTAATCTGTTACTCCCCCGTCGGTGGTACATTTACATTTACTCAAGTACTTTAGTACAAGTCTGAAGTCTTTTCTTTTCAGGCCACTTATATACTTTATAGTCCAGTTCAGAGGGAAATATTTATACTGATATGATATTTTTACTCCACTACATTTAACAGCTTCAGTTAATAATTAATTTTTTATGGTTCCCGTCTAATACTAGTATTTATATAATATATCAATTGTTGGATAAAACAAGCATTGTTAAAGTGTAATTTCAGACTGAAGGACTTTTCTCATAAACCGATCAATCAATTGATCAGTGGAGAACATAATCAGCAGATTGAAGCACCAGTGTAACTAACTGAACACAGCTTGCGTCTGTATTTGACGACCTGGGAATAAGAAGTGTGCAGGAGAAACTACGGTGGCCACAAAAGGCCCTTTTTACAGTGTATGGTTTGTCCGTTCTGGGCTACTGTAGAAACATAAATATTATATTACATTTTACCATGTGAGCAGCATTTTATTTACTTTTATACTCATTTTATACACAGTTTTCATTAAGTGTACAGTAACTATATATTTATATATGTATATTTATATATAATAATGTGGTAAAAAGGACAATACTTCCCTCTACGATGTAGTAACGTAGAATAATATGATAATATACTTTACAGTGTGGGAGGGGGATTGGTGGGTTGGTGTCCCCCCAAGGGGACTGTTATTTTTGGACTTCTCTATTTCTGTGAACACAGAGCTGTCCATATTCCCTTGTTTGTGTGTGTGTGTGTGTTTTCATAATCTCATGTTGATTTTAATGTCCAGGCTGTTGGATGCGTCTGCTGTACCAGTGGGCCGGAGCCTGGACCTCACTCTGGTGCTGGAATACATTGACCAGGACCTGTCCACCTACCTGTCCAAGGTCCCCGCTTCTGGACTGAGCCGTGACAGCATTAAGGTGTGAACTACGTGTATTTAAGTATATTTAATGTGAGTCTTCTCCCCTTTGGAAGCATTTTAAGGCAGGTGGACACCTTGACACGCTCCCACCTCATTTACATATCAGTAACTCTTATCAGGAAGGAACCTCCATCTTGTAATCTCAGATTCTACTAGAAACCCTAATTCACTGCCCCACAATGTGTCGATATAGGGATGAAGTTGTGTCCAACGTCTGCAAAAATCATTATATAACTGTAAGTTCACAGCCATTACCTCAGGGAGACTACAGCTAGTGGTGTGTTCAGGTGTTCCTTATGAACTTGTAAAGCTGGATTTTCCAGTTTTACCAGCATTGTGTTGCTTTTGAACCAGTGGTGGAATGTAACCGAGTACAGGCTTTAATCTGAATCAGAAATACTTTATTGTTATCCCAGAGGGGAAACTGGTTGTGTTACAGTTGCTCAAGTTGTAAAACAAGATATTAGAGAAGTAGAAATAATAATAAGAAAGTTAAAACATGTGCATTATATAACAATATATAGAAAATAAGACATGCAAAATATGTTTTATATATATATAACAGAAGTGTAATGAATAATAAATACTTATAATTAGTGCTAACAATGCTGAGAATCCTTAAATAAGTGTGCTAATGAGAACACAACAGTATACAGTATGATAGCAGTAATAATGACAGAGGAAACCAGAGTGCTGCACATTTCAAGCAATGCATTTTGGGAGGCACGAGCACACATCAGCAGTGTCCTACAACAAATTCTGCCAAAGGAAAGCACTGTAGCACCTCCAAGGAGACAGAATAGTCAGTGCTGTCGTGCTGCTTTATTTACGTGTGTGTGCAGGATTTGATGCAGCAGCTGTTGCGAGGACTGGACTTCCTGCACACAAACATGGTGCTGCACCGTGACCTGAAACCAGAAAACGTCCTGGTCAGCAGCCGCGGAGAAGTCAAGATCGCGGACTTTGGACTGGCACGCGTCTACACCTTCAACATCGCCCTCACTCCAGGTGTAAGTGAACACCTTCCGCCTGGTGTCGCTCGTTAGCAGATGAGTACAGAAAAGAGTAAAAACTGTTAATTTATACTGAAAGAAGTCTCTTATAAGACACGGTCGGTTTTTCTTATATGCACTGTAGCAGAGTCTGTCTGCTCTCAGGCCTGAGGTGATAAATGTTCTTTTGTTCTTTCTCCCAACCCCCTCTCCCGGCTGTGTGTCTTTATATTTTCTCTCTCTGTGTTCAGGTGGTGACGCTGTGGTACAGAGCTCCCGAGGTGCTGCTGAACTCCGTTTACATGTCCTCGGTGGACATGTGGAGCGTCGGCTGCATCTTCGCCGAGCTCTTCCTCTTGAGGTGAGGAGAGCTGAGTCTGTGTCTGGCTGGAGGAGATATGAGAGAGAGTGTAAACACTCTGCAGTTGTCAAAACAGAGATAAAGTTGCAGTGTGACATTTGCTCTCCCACAGACCACTCTTTCAGGGATACACAGAGGTACAGCAGCTGCAAAAAATCTTTGAGTGAGTACTTTTTCTTTCCCTCACAACACTGCGTATACCTTGTCAAACATCAAAGAAAGAATAATATGTATACATACGTAGAGAGAGAATCATCAATCGATCGTACAGACCTCAATTTAATCTCTAGGCTTATTAATATATGACTAAAGAGTCCCAATTAATTCTAGTTAAACAGTCTATCGTGCAGTCTTTTCCAGGCCTTTGAGACAAAGAACTTAAATACATCAAATCTAAAAAAAGCTGTTCCAATTTTTGTTCATCAGTATGCCAGAATATTTCAGGGTTTTGTTGCGTGAAGGAACAAGGAGCTCGCACTCTCCGTTTGTCCTGACTATTTTTGAATCGACCAACCTCGGTGACCAGAGGAAGAATACCAGCCCTTGTCCTTGTCCTTAACTTTGGCTGTAACAAACTTTCTTCAAATTTCAGTGAGAGCTTATTTTGAGTAGTGTTAATGTTACAACATAAATTATCCCTGTAGATAAACAACATATCCACCTCCTCAAAAACGGAATAAATCTCCTCTGCCCATAGAGACCTGCGTGCTTTACTCCACAGATTGGCTTTATGGCAATCTGCATGTTTGTTTAAAATTACCCAAACCTTGAGATCAGACAGGAATTAAACCTTTTAAGTTGTTTGTCTCACTGAATTCAGAAGTTACTCAACAATACGCTGTTGTTACAATCAAATAGGATTTAATGATTACTCGAGATCAATAAATAAAGCTTACTTTACAGTCTTACTTTAAAAATGTCAGACGTGGAGGTTATTAGCAGCCTGTTGCTGCTGCTCTTTGCTTTCTTCATCAGGGTGATTGGTTTGCCCAGCGAGGAGGACTGGCCCAAAGACAGCCCGATCTCCTACTCAGTCAGCTGGGGACCGAAAGGCTCCTGCACCAAACTGCTGCACAACCTGGGCCCGGGCGAGAACGACCTCCTGTCTGTGAGCAGATCTGTGTTTCAATCTATCTATAAAGAATTATCTATCTATGTCACCCCTGCAGTTATAAACTCACAGAGAGGCTGAAAGTTTTAAACAAATACATTTGACCATTGAGATACGGACGACATAGACCAAAACTTCAGAGTAGAAGATGGTAGAATTGGTAGTTTAATTGATGAATCTGACTGATCAGTGATTTCTTTAATCAGATAATTAAGACTAAGAGTGTGAAACCACAGGAGCCACAGTTTGTGCCTCTCACAGTCTCAGAGGTAACCCTGAGCTGCAACCCTCCAAAGGCATTGTGCTTTCACAGTTTCAAGGTTGTTGTTTAATAAATTAGACACCGATGGCGCAGTGCTGTATTGTACCTCTGAATATGGGCATGTTTTTTTTTGCAAAAGTTTGAGAACAACTGCTCTAAAAGATAATTAACCGGCAATGTCTGAAAAACCCAGGAGGTCGTTTCCGTCCAGACGGAGCGTTTTTCATCCAGATGGTTTGAAGAGTCTTTGAGGAGGATTCAGAACAGCATTAAGGGTTTTTAAACGACCTTCTGGGTTTTTCAGACATCGATGGTTAATTATCTTTCAGAGAAACGGATGGCTACCTCTGTGACCTGAATGTATAATACTAAATGCTAGCATCAGTATGCTAACATGCTGATGTTTGAGCAGTGGATGCTTGACCAACTAAAGACTACACCGTCCTTTAACCGTGCAAACTCTTTCTGCCAAAATGTGTTTTGGGCTGCTGATAGAACAAAGCTAAATGATTAAATGTTTGTTCAAATACAACAATAAGGATGATATGAGCAGCACTGAGACTGTCTCTCTTTACCTGCAGCAATGCTTGGCATTCAGAGCGAGCAGTCGCATCTCAGCCGCCAAAGCCCTGGCTCATCCTTTCTTCATGAAGCACTGAAGATTTTCAGTCGAATGCCGAGTGGAAGAAGAGAAACTTCGGCTCCTTCCGCTTCTTACCCCGCCCTACTGTCAGCTCTGCTAACTACTCTTGTGCCACAGAGTCCATCGCACACACACCCACATCATGAGAAACTGTGGTCAGGTTTGAGGGAACAGCTTTACACGTTTCTTCCTCGTAGAACATGGCTCTGATGGCACAAAATGCTTAACAGTAACGTGTATGTTGATAAGAATCCAAAACATGAGACATGTTTGAAGGAACAGTTTTATTTACTTTGTTGTATTGATTTCTAAATTCGGCCCGCCTTCACGTGAACAGAGTAGAAGTATGTTGTTCTTTGATTTGATAGTACGCTAAGATGCAGTACTTCTTTGTTGTTGTTGAGCGTTACTCTTAAAAATATTAATTCTGTTTTGCTGTAAACTACTGACAACACTATTATGAGCACCTTTAAGTTGATGAGTTGGTTTATGTTGTTTCGCCGAAGCTTTTTCTGTTCTAGACTTGCATACATCGGAAGGAAATGAAGTCCCTTATTTTTTTTATTATTTTGTGAAGATATTTGTGGTGTAATCACTGGAAGCAGATTACACCTGTATTTATGTTTGTATTGACAGATCTACACGAGTTACACTGTTCATTCAAGAAGCTTTTCTATAAATAACTCTCTCAAACCCGTCTCTGCATTTGAATGCAACACCGTCGATAACATTAATGATTCACTCAGGAAGATGAAGAGCTGTTGGCTGATAGTTCGAACACAAACAGCTGCTGTACTTTGTGAACAGGTTCAGATAATAGATGAACACCACAGCAAGCTCTGAGCTTTTATTACGTATCCTTATTATCAAACGCTGTATTCTTCCTTTAGTTCGGCATTTTGTTGAGCTAGTTAAGGCCCAAAATGTCCACCAGTTTACTAGTTAAAGCCTCTTTTCACCTTACTAGTGAACTAATGAGGTCTAAAAAACCTTAGTCATGAGTCTTACTAGTCAACTAGTGAAATATTTTATATTAGGAAAATCTTTAACTAGTTAACTAGTTGATTTATAGCCTCACTAGTCAACAAGTAAGGTTAACTAGTGAGGTTCAAAAGCTGTATTAAATAACCAATGAAGTCTAATAATCCACTAGTTAACTGGCAAATGATGGCCTTCACTAGTTAACTAGTACATATTATTGACCTCACTAATCAACTAGTAAAGTTTTATAGCCTCAGTATGTCAACAAGTTAGGCAAAAAGAGGCTTTAACTAGTTAACTAGTGAATATTTTGAGCCTCCCTAGTCAATTAGTTTGACAAAATGCCGAACTAGTCGAATAAATTAGAGTTTGATGTCAAGGATATAAATGCTCATAAGACCATCCAACACAGAGATCTGATCCGTTGCAACTGCACAGTCTTAACAGCAGGGGGCAGTGCTGAAACAGTTAGGGAACAGTAGTGGTCTGGACCCAGGACCCCAAACAGTAAATAAAACAACACAGCAGAGTAAATATACAGTCAGTTAACCCTAAATCACACTCATCTCTATCATTATCTGGCTGTGAATAATGTGTGTGTGTGTGTGTGTGTTTTAAAATATAATAATGTGAAATATGTGGAGTAATAGAAGTACAGGAGATTTAGAAATGTTGAAGTAGGAGACAGAAGACAAAAAGTTAAACCATTTATTTTTAAAATAAGTTTGTTTTTCCATTTGAAGTTATTAATTCATCCTTTACAGCCAGAACAACTGCATTTTAATTATGAATTAGCATACCTTTAATATATTTCTATAACCCTTTATTCGTGTATCTACTTTTTATTTGGGGGTTTTGGATTTCATAACAGTACACAGTGAGTGCACTACACACATACACACACACATGCACAGCTGCTTCATTATAGTGTATTAACAGAGACCCAGAAATTAATCAATCACAGGTTTTCTGTGGGTCAGTTACTTTGTGGTCATTTAATTAAACTGTTTTCGGACTTGAGAGCAACATATAAAGTCTTCAAACTAGATTTTGACATAATACATATATAGACGACATATATACATAAGTTTAGGTCTTGGATGATGATGTATTTTAGTTGTTCCAATTAAAAAAATAAATCCGCAATTAATCAAATTACCAACCCACACCTGAGCTGAAGTGCGGCTCTCGTTCACCTGTAGACGCCACAGCAGCGTCTCTCGGCTGCCTCTCGGACAGTGGAAGGGGCGTCCCACGGTCCGTCCATCTATTTATACTCACCCCCCTTAATACGGAGAGCGCTCCACAGCTGCGAGTGTGACTACATTTGGAGCGACAGTCCGTGTAGTGAAGGGCCAGTGGGGAGGGACCGCCGGTCTGAGGAAGGGCAGCGGTACCACTCAGGCCCACTTCACACCGCCGCACTGCATGTAAGTACACATGTGACTTTATTCTGCGTTCATTGTCTCTAATAGTGAGTTTACAGTTTGAAAATGTAGCCAGGAGCCAACTTCTGAATATTTTATCACCTTATTACGGTCTCTCATCTTGTTGGTGTTTGTCCTGAAGTTCGTGCTGTGGAAGTTGTGGTGTTCAGTTACTCTGTGAGCCTTGTGTGTAAAACGTTTTACGTAATATTGTCTAAAATTGATCTAAAGACAAGGAAGATTTGGCTGTTTAATATTTACTAGTGGAAGAACATGTTTTACGCGCAATTTACGCACGAATTACGCATGGATGAAACCGCAATCTTACCACTTTATGTTTATAATAACGTGCTACTCTTTATTATTTCTCATATGTATGTTGCTGTTAATGTGTCCGGACACTACGACAGCGATTGTGATAGAATTTGAAATGTTCTCACCATCTCCATCTTTCTTCAGTATGAACTCTTTGACATTCTCGGCGGATATTCGTCGGACAAATTAATCTAAATAATGTGTGTAATGTAAAAACTGCCATCAGAGCAGCTGTTAATGTGCTACATCCCGTTGGGAGCTAACAAGTGGATTATGGTTGCATGAGTTCTTACTCTCTGCCCTGCAGCTACATGCCTTCAAAGTAGAGAGCAGACAAAGGCATAACGGCGACTGCAGCTGCTGATGTCCATTTCTCACATCCCTGTCTTACTCCTGGACAATGCTTGGCTATGTAACCTTTGCATATTCATGATATATGGTGCTGCATTGTACTCACATATCCAGTGGAAGTATGTAGTGAGGGCCTGTGAGAATTTGCCCTTGAATTATGGTGCTCCATAGGGGGCTTTAGTGCAGGTAGCCCAGCCAGGACAGGTGTAATTGGGTGGAGGTTTATTGTTCTTGGCCAGCCTTTTAATCTGGTTTACTGTGCTACTGTGGGACACTAAGGTCATCTAGTTATGTAACAGCTAACATGTCTCCACTATAAAAACCAACAGTTGGCCTGTAATACCCAACACTGGTGCTGGAGTTTTTAAGGTATTTATCTGTTAAACTCTGGATTTATATCCTTAGCTCAGCACTAATGGCCTTTGGTTGAACCCTCTTGATATTTTCATTTGAATATTATACCGCTGTTGAAGTTTCCCTGTCTCAGTCAAATAGGTCCTGTGTGCTCATCCACCGGCTTTATTACAGAGCTAGTGTCAACTAGTGTTGCTGGATTAGAAGGCCGTGATCCCCTTTGAGCCTCGATGGCATTCCCCCCTCCAATCGACAATCCTCCAGCTTGTCACATGACTTCTGCTCTTTAAACAAGTGTGGCCACTGTCAACTCTTACTCACGTTCTGCCAGCAAAAACATAAAGGAGCGTGGCGTCAGTGAGGCTGGGGTTGGCTTGTGGCTTGCTCCCTCTGCGTCTGCACAGGGAGGTGAGTTCTCCTCTTCCGGTTGGCTGACTGTTTTTGTTCAAAGCACATGTACACGTGTTTTGAAGTGCCGACACAGATACACAGAACACCGGTCCTTGAGCTTGTTGTGTCATGTCAGGGATCACTGAGTGTTACAGTTCAGCTCATTAAAGCTCTCTGTGGCGTGGTCATGTCAGGTCTTCACTAACCTGCTGACAGTGTCTGCAAATGTGCTGTTAAGTTGATTCAATATGACTTTATATGTGTATATTTTGGGTGTTTCTGATCAGATCTGATAGTAGTTGTGCAGATTTTGACATTCAGGCTCCACAATCTACATCTCTTTTGTCTGCTCACTCCATATTTTCTTTCCAGCAGTCTAACAGTGAGCAGCAAATCAAATAAACTTTAAAAGTTGCATCTTTTACTTTGTGAACTCTGCTGCCAGCAGAAGCTTTCAGCCCTGCTGCAGATCTATCTGGTGTACTAAGTCCGTGGCTCTCATCTCTTTGTTCTGGCTCCATTGTGCTTCCTGCATCAGGAATGCTGACACCCACAGTTTTGGAAAGCGCACGAACACATATGCAAACACACATTTATGTTTGTACATATTTGTGAGCACACACAGTCGCTCATTTGTGAACCTTGCTGATGGTTAGCTGCTGTCTTTAAATGCAAATCGTGTCATATCAGTGCTATTTATATGTGGTAGACAGCCTCAGGCTTTGTCAGTGTTGTTTATTCACTTCTAGGCAACAGGGCCAACAGGGACTTTTTTTGGTTCATCTATGTGTGAACGTTGCCTGGGAACATGTCATAATTCAGTTCATCACTTGTGTATTTAAACAAATTTAAAACCATGACTAATCTATTTTTGACAGATAACACGCTCTGTATTGACCTACAACAATTAAACTGGCTATGCAGCTTCTTAAAGAGTATTCAAACAAAAAAACAGTGACTTGTTCATGGGTTAAGTTACATCCAGGGTTGTGGAAAAGACCAACAAGCCTGCAGACTCAGTGCCATGGAGGCCTGGACCCAGAGTGGAGCTGGCTGCTGTGGTGTTGAGTTTCAGTGCAAGGGGAGATTCCTGCATGGCACTGCAAGCTGGTGCAGGTCATCTTACATGGACTCAAGCAAGAGACTTAAATAAAGGATGCACTTTTCACTAAAATTCATTTCTAGGAAGACATAGACTGCTGAAGGGCACACAAGTGACGTGCGTGTGCTATGTTAGCGACAACTGCAAGTTGCTTACCTGTTTTTTGTACCTTCTTTCAGGAGCAATGTCTCACCCACCAAGGAACAGATTGTTCTGCATCCCCTGATTGTCGGACTCTCAGCAAAGAAAGTCTTTAGGTCCAATGGAATCTGAATTTTACTGGAGTAAAGTCTGGCTCCTGAGTTTTGCCTTAGCCTAAAAGTGGAGAGAGAACAACCCGTCTGCTTTCTCTTCCTAAATGCTTATTTGAAGAGCAGAGAATCGACTGAATCCTTTGGAAGGACATGGACGCCATAGAGAACCCCGTCCTGGAGCCCAGATCGGAGCGGATCGCTCGTTATAAAGCTGAGAGGAGGCGAGAACTGGCCGAACGCTATGGCAACATGGAGGAGCTCCCTACCAAGTGGGTGAGGAGGGATGGGAGAGAGGTGCAGGACCCAGCGACCCAAGCCCACAGAGGGACACTGAACTCAGATGACCTCAGTGAACGAGTTAACGGCAGGACGCGAGGGGTCACAAATGGATTAGAGGCTGACGCTCCTCAAGAGTCCAACCACTCGGGAAGGTGAGTCATGTCTGGAGTGAAGGATGCATAAAGTAATGCAAAAATCACAGAGTCTGCTGCTACATAGGGCTAAGGTTTCCATAAAATACAACAATGGTTTTCCCCTACAGACACGTGTTATGACATATATACAAATGCTTGGAGCACTACCTTAAAAAGGCCTTACAGAATCTAAAAATATGCTAATTTAGTTAATTTCTAAAGTTTTCCTGCTGGACACAAGATGTCTCCTACGTCACTGTAAATCTCAGTGTCAGTTTTGCTGAACAAAACTCAAGAGAAGCAGCAGTTAGACTTTAGTTTAGTTTAGTTTTGTCCTAAAGGAATTAAATGCCTGTCCCAAATAGACGCCTGTCCCAAATAAAGGCAGGGGGAGTTCAGTGATTTAAGCAAATAAACGCTCGGCTATTATTAGAAGTTTTACGGTAAGTTGCATACTTGGACCAGGATGGACTGCTAAACTATTTGTGATGTCACAGATCATGCTTATAGGCCCTGCCCCTTAAAATATAAATTTTCAGTGACCACAGAGAAGCTTTCCACTTTCAGCAGATGAATATGAACACATCCTTTTAGTGTCAAACTCTGTACGTACATCATTGTGCACAGTGAATCTCAAACAATCATCTGTAGGAACAAGAAGGAAAACTTTTTTTTTTAGGAGGGGGGGATAAATTTGTGTAAACATCTTTTTAAACTGCAGAAAACATACAGTGAACCCTTCAGGACACGGCTGTAAAAGTCTGTAAAACAATGACCCTCAATAATAACCAAAGAGGTTTTGTGTTGCGTAGAAACGGCACAGTGTAGGCGCCTGTATGTTCTCTTCATCTGGAGCCTGGATGTTGGGGGGGAGCGGGTGTTTTGGGCTTAATTTGTCCAAACACCAATAAAGCAGAGTGCCCACTTCCTCACCCCAATGTCACCTGCTTCAACCTTTTCCAGCTTGACTTCAATACACACTGTAGGTGTTGTCCTAAAATAGCACCTCAGAGCGTAGCATCATGCTGATATCATCACTGAGGAGTAGCCAGAGAGAAAGAGGGATTTTAGGTAGCTGTATGTTTGTATAGTGCACTGTTTCTCTGTATAAAATGTATGTGGGATGATCTTTTGTATGTAAATTATGCAGAATATGCACAAGAGTGGGTTGCTCTCTTTTTCATCACAACAGTCTGAGCCACCTTTGTTCAGTCACGGCTACTGAACGCTGCTGTTCTACTTGTTTTAGATTCACACCAGAAAGTTAAATAGGGCTTGATTTTAGACTTACAAGACAATGACAACATTTAATACTTTTACCTTTGTCAGCAGAGCACTGACCCATTTTATAATCCAACCAGGTTATTCTACCAGTCTTAAACTTGGTCTGCTTCTTACCAGTGACCTTTCAGCAGCAGCAGCAGATCCTTGACTTCACCAGTTGCTCTGTGGCCTTTTGGTACTAATTAAAACTGAGAGGTCTAAATCAGTGGGTCCCAGCAGGGAGTTTTAAAGCCACTCTGATTCTTCTTATGCATTTGGTTGGTACTCTCCCAGCCTGACACTTTTCCCATCATGTGGTCTGGGTGCTTTTTCTTGGATCTGGCATTATGAAACAGAGGCCTCCAGCAGCGTCTTTCCTCTCAGAAAAAAAACGTACAGCTTTGCACCTTTTTCTCGATCGGAGCTTTTATTTGGCAGCTCCTGACGGAAAGGTTCAGGATTGTACTTTTGTTTCTGAGCTCGTTCCTCTCCCCCCACGTCCCCCCCCACTCCTGCATCCTCACCTCCTTCCCCTCACTCCCGCCCCCTCCAGGCAGGGTTCCCAGGACTCTGCCAGCATGCTGAGTGGGGAGGGGTACCTCGTCCCTCTTGGACTCGATGCCCCACAGCTCCACACTCGGGTGTCGGTGGGCAAGTTGAGAAGTGCCCTTCTGCAGCAGACGGGGAGCGGAGCGCGGCCCCAGAAAGTGTATGGTCACCTGCATGCGTGTGATCCAGACTGTCACTATCAGCCTGTGTACCTCTGTGACAATCCTCGCCTCAACATCTTCTTCCCTTTTTCTCCTCCTGCTCTGTTTGTGCGGATACCAGTTGCCCTACGTCCTCTCTGGATCTGGCTGTGAAGCCAGGCTCTGAGGGGGGTCGGCGACGCACCCGGCGTTACCTCCCCGGCGGGTCAGGTGGCGGTCGCAAGACCAGTGAACGCTTCAGGACACAGCCGATCACAGCCAATGAGATGGAGGAGAGCAGCGGGTAGGGGCTGTGTGCTGCAGTCAGGGTGCAAGCTCTGCAGACGAGGCACCTGCTGTGGTTTCTCCCACAGAAGATGCTGTTTGCAGTGATCTTTTTGCAGTGTTGTTGTAGTGTATGCATAATGTAAGAGACCCACTTACATTTAACAATTCTTAATGTGTTTTCTTTTTTTTTTTAGACAAAGCTTTCAAATTGCTGATGGTTTGTGTTTGATATTTTACTCCACTAATAAATATTTTGGTCATACTTCGGCCGAGGTGCAGCAACTTTACATAAATACCCACGGGTGGTGTAGTTTGCATGTGTTTGTCCGCCTTCATGACCTCCTCAGCGCTGCTTTACCGAGCATGCAAATATGACACAGTATCTTGGCTGTCTGAGCCGCACACCGAAGCACAGAGTCATACACTGTGAGCTCGAAGCGGGACCTGAAAGAGAGAAAGTCCACGTCACCTCCCTGTTCGTATTCCACCTGGTGACTTCCTGTTCTGCCTCTCTTCACTCTTCTAGGCTGTTGGATGCAGAGGAAGAGGAGAACTGTAAAGGTAAATGCTGTCTGGCTCGGATTATAGTTTGTTATTGTGTTTTGAGACAAACAACAACAACAACAACAACACAATGAAGGCAGAATAACCTATATGAGATATTAAGGAGGCAGCAGAAGGAACAAACATCATGATGTTGTTGCTGTTTTTGTTGTTGCTGCTGCTTCCAAACAAATATTGTGAGCGTGTCCAACTTGCACAGTTGCCTCCATAAACTCATTTAATAGCTCATGAAATAAATCAGGTTGTATTTTTAGGCTCACAATAGTTGATCTCCTCAGTGATGACAGTTTTATGTCTCCCAAAACCATGTGAGCAGTGGACCACCGGTCAGTCAGCCCCACTCTGAACCCCCACCATAAAAAGATTACAAGCAAGTAGAAACAAGAAGCCAACTTGAAACTAGTTTTTATTGCCGTTAGGACTCATTTAAGGCCATATATCATAATGTTTATGTGCAGTTCTGTATATTAACTCCACAAACACAACATAAGTCTCTTAAGCTGAGACATTGAAAGTGTGGATGCTCTGAAATGTGGCACATCTTGAATTTCTGACAAAAGTTTTCCACATATATTTGTTTTTTTGCTATAAATTACAGCCTACTAATTATTGTGTGATATTCTACTATATACATAATAATAATAATAATAATAATATTAATACACTTTATTTAGCCTTACAGGCTGGAAGAAGGATTAAAAACATTTCAGGAGAATACAAAATCAAATCAGACAATTAAAATCATATAGAAGTGAGATAAAAAGACCCCCATCAGTAAAAATAAATATTAACAATAAAACTAATAAACATATTATAAATTAACTGCACTGGGGTAAATAAAGGATATCAATAAAATACTTATTGGGCACTTATATGTTGCAATGGAACAAGACAAACGCTATAACAAGAGTGACTTTTACCCTGTATTTACAAGTATTTAATAATTAGTTACAACAGTATTATAAGTATTATTATTACCAGGTAACAAGGAAGGGACCTGTGTAAAAATATGATGTAAAATGAAGTTATTATTCTTTAATATCGTTTTATTGTAGGTTTACCCTGAGTAGAAGGATGTGCTTTTAACTATAAAGTAGTTTTATAGCTTATGTTTATATGTTGTTCCTTGTTTAATATGTGCTGGGTTAATACATTTATAGTGTAATTTAGTTTTAGGATCTCATTAAACACAAATTTGTGACAATCCTTGTTTCACTTGTAGCTTGAGGAACCCAGTGAAGTATTTCCTTTGTATTTTGACGTTATATAAACTAAAAGCAGGGACGAGTTATTATCTATTATTTTGTTTTTTCTTTATGCCAGTGCTTCACACAAAGGGCTCCGTCTCAAGACCCATCAGGCCTCGTTGTGTCCTCATCTATATGCTTAACTACAGCCCTGCTTCCATAAAGACGGTTATGATTAGACTAAATAATATCACAATATGTAAAGAGAGGTTGTAAAGGGTTGTTCAGAGAGTTTTTTAAACGAGTTAACAAGTGGGTCAAAGTTTAATTTAATATCTATCAGGACTAAAATGCAGATTGATTCAAGATCTTTGTAGAGGAAGAACATATAACACATAACAGTATCTAAATACTCTATTACAAATAAGTCCTGCCTTCACAATCCTACTTAGAAGTATTATCAGCAAAATATACTTACAGTGTCTGAAGTAAAGGTACTGTAGTGTTGTTGATGCATACATACAGTTGAGCAGGTTTGAACTAGCTTATATAAAGATATACTTATCTATCTATATATATACTTATATACTGGTAGTTTTTGGTATGTGAGATGATTAATGGGAGAGAAAAGAAGAAAAATAGAAGTTTTGCTTAATATTTTGTACATTTTGTGTAAATTTCTCGAATATTTATTCAGCTTTTTTGTCAAATATTTGATCATTTTGCCTCTTTTGGGAAACAGTTATTAAATTAAACCGTTTGTCAACTCAGAGACATTTAAAACATGAGTGAGGGACCCCAAACACTATAAGATATAAGATTATTATGTATGTTAATATGAGATTATAACTATATAACTATAGCTGTTAGATAAATATAGTGGAGTTAAAAGTAAAATATTTGCAGAATATTACAGAAAATACCTCAAAATCTTACTCAAGTGCTTGCGTAAATGTACTTAGTTGCTTCCCACTGTTGAGAATGAACATAAATTACATTAATTTTCAGTGAGTATTGATTTCAAACCACCTTTCCTTCCTGCTGATAACTGTTAGATAGTGTTTGAAGATGAGTCACAAATTGTAATAACCATGTTTCTTTTACTTTAATGACATAATGATTCATCTGTTTTTGTCCCTGACAGCTGACGTAAAAACAGACGACAGAGCCAAGATGAGCGTGGCAGCCAAGATGTCTTTGTTTAAAGTGAGTCTATGTCCGTCTCAGCCCTGAAACAGGACCCTCACCGCTGTTCATAACCGGATTATTTGGATGTAATGACATTCATTCATGTACAGTCACAGCTGAATCATCCTTTTGGAAGCTGTTATCAGGATGTCAGATCCTGCGTTAACTCGTCTGACCAGAATCGCTGCCAGTATGTAACTGCAAACTGAAATGTATCCAGTGGTGGAAGAAGTATTCAGATTCTTTATTTAAACCTACAATAAGGAGTTTTTAACTGGTTATTAAATAGTCTCAGTTTAATACTGATGTGTCAATATGAGCTACATAAGCACACCAGACCATCAGCGACAAGATTTACTATTTCCATATAGTTATTCTTAATGCCGGCCATTGGGTCGGATTCCTCTTGACATCAATGAAACAAGGCAGCGGAAACACTTCCACTTTTGACCACAGGGGGCGCCACAATCAACAAAAAGTTCCTTGTTGCTGCTTTAAGTTAAAGTACCAATGCCATACTGTGTAAGTACGAGGGCTGGCCCCGACTGAAGATTCTCCTCATGGACGAGTAGCCAAAAGTCGACTGGTTGTTGAACGTTTATGATTAATTAAAATATCAATAAATTAATTAATTAATTGAATGATTTAAATACATATATTTGAACTGCCACCCTTTAAATGATAACAGAAGGTGCGGTAATGATTCTGAATGTGTCAGAACAGCCGGCATGGAGACTTAACTCTTCACAAAAACAACTACTTACTGACTGATTGATGCAATGGATGATATAGGTATAACATTACTTACAAATCAACTCACTCCTCTCCTGTTTCCGCCTGAACCCGCTGTGTCTGGTCCTGATCAGAGCCGCTGTAAATCACCTGACCTACGATGGTGTCGTAGGCCGTTGTCACTGGGAGGCTCAAGCAACTCGCAGTTTTGTCAGTGGTCCGGTGCATCTAGAAGGGTTCTTGCTGGATTCTGTGTGTCTGTGCCTTTAGGAAGGTTAATTTATAGCAATGTAACATGTTATATAGGATCATTATGTTTGTAGCGACAGTGTCCTCGAGTATGAACTTAAGGACAGTCCCTCACTAAATGCACCAGTGGATTTATTTAATAATTAAATATGCCAATGTGACATCTCATACTGGATTTATCTAAAAAGCTCGTATTATGGGCTGGTGATGAGTTGTGGAGTAATATATTGAACTGTTAAAGAGAAAGGCTCGTCCGTCATCGACAGTCACCTCAGCTGCTCACCTTACAGTCTGAGTGGAGCGAGCCGCTGCTGAGCGCGCAGAACACAACCTGATCATGTTGAGAGATATGAATGGTCAAACAGGTGCTGTCCCTCGGATCCGCAGTTTAGTTAAATGCTACAGTCTGTACGTATTAAAAGAAAGACTAAAATTATACAGCAGTGTGATAAATACACAGCGAAGTCGTGGGATTTTCTCCTCAACAGTTACAATCTGCATTCCTACATTTCACCTCCTGCACAGTTGTAGTCATGGAGCACCAGGTGAAAATGTGGCAGACACTGTATTACCATTAACAACCACAGCAGCTGTTATAATTAGCTTCTCTGCGGAGGCAGGCGGGTAGGGTAACTGAACCCCGGGCACAGCTCCGGTTACACTGTGACCTGTTGGGCTGGCATTCTATCCACGTAGCCAAGGCGCTCCACCTTACAGCTAGCTGCTTTATTCACCAGCTACCCGACCCTCCATCTGTCCATCCAAATAGAACAGGAGACATCAGGAGAGGGAGTTTTCACTGCCATTTTTGTGGTCTCTCTTATTACTTATTTAGCAGGTGGTTGCTATTTGACCTGAACGTTGGGGTCCACCTCTTGGAGAAAAACAAAAAAGGCGCCATTGAACCTTCAAATGTTGTTATTAACATGTTCTCCCTCCCTCCCCCACTTTGTAGGAGCTGGAGAAGTCCTCTGCCCCCGAGGCCTCTGCCTTCCTGAAGCCTCGCTCAGGCAGCGTCTGCCATGAGCGCAGGGTCCGCCGTGGCAACGACCATCGCTTTCTGACTCAGCCAATCACCTGTGAGGAAATCGTAGCAATCAGGTGGGGATGGAGGGAGAGATTTTAGCTTCAGTGTCAGAAACACACATATATATATATATATATATAGAAACACTTGGTTGGATCCTAAATGGTTTTATGCTCAGTACAAACTAATATAAACTTGGCGTGGCACTGCTTTAGACATCTGCTCCATTTTTAGCTCAACCATTTGGGGATGACCTTCATGTGTTTAAAAGGGTACGGCTGGCTTTATTCTAGATTTTTCTTACTGTCAACCAAAGCAACAATGACATGACTCTTTAAAAAGAGGTCACAGATATGCTGTATAGTTTTTAAAAGGCTCAGCGATTTCCTAACAGCTGGGTATCAACAGTAGCAATTCAAACTGGAGTAAATAGTTAAGTTAACCTTTATTAATCCTTGCAGGGTCATTCATTCTCTGCATTTGACTCATCGTAAATACAAGAAGCAGTGGGCAGCCACTGTGCAGCGCCACAGGGACCAAATCCAGTTCTGAGCCAATACCTTGGACAAGGGCACTGACTGGAGAATTAACATTAACCTATATAATTTTAAAGGGTTTGAAGATAATATTTTAAGGCTCATTCACTGATTAACAGGATAAGAAACAAGAAAATAAATTGGTCTGTTAAACAAAATTATATTTCTTTTTTGGTGAATATTTTCACCTCTTAAGGTAAAAAGGGAAAAACAGATTTTACTTTAATTTAACACACCTCAAAATATGTAGTTTCATTCTAAAAGGCTAATTATTATTATTTATTAGTAAATGTTACTCAAACTGGAATAAATAGTGCATTTGGCAGGGTTTAAGCTGCGGATGAATACACATTTGGTACTCTCAATGAGTATTTCCAGCAGCAGGGTGGTGTATGTGGGATCATAATAAACTACAGTGTGAGTGTTCACGGTGATACAACAGTGCAACAGTGTGGCTCACTGACATTGGAGCGTTATATGACACAGATGAATAAGATATATCAGGTTCTGGATACAGTAACAGTAAGATCTATTCTTTTAATGAGATTTGTTCACCATAAGAACAACCCTATCTTGTAATTAACCTGTTTCATATCACATGCACTCCCTGCAGCGCCCCCAAACCAGCACCACCAGTGGAGTCCCAGTCTGTGCAGGATGAGTCAGTGGAGGATGGCGATGAGAGCTGCAAGCTGAGCATGAGCGAGAAGCTGGCCCTCTTCAACAAACTGTCCCTGCCGGGGAGGGAGGCGGGCGGCCCTGCCGAGGGGCCCCCGGAGAGGCGAAGGCAGAAGGGGGCCCGGTACCGCACGCAGCCCATCACTGTGGAGGAGGTCAGCCTGGTGAGAACTATATTTATATTACATGTTTCATACCATAAAAACCGCTATACAAAAACTCCTCATAACACCCGTTCTCAGGACAGACTCGATGTGTCCCTGCAGTAAAGACTCATTTTGGGAAGACAGATTTCAGATAATGCAAACATGACACCATGATATCGCTTTATTGATTTAAAGTGTGACTTTTTAACACAATATGCTTGTTTATAAGATCATTTTTATACTTATGTTATGTGTATTTAAATAGTTGCTACTTCATTTTTTCTATTTTTACTCAGCAAGGTCATTATAATGAACTAAAACTAAGCTAAAAACTAAAACTAGGTGTGAAAAACAATTTTAGTCAACTAAAATAAAAATACAAAACTGAAGTGATTTTGTGTACTTACAAAAGGAACTGAAATAAATTAAAAACTTTTGTCAATTTGGTCCAATTTGTCACACAATTTGGCTTTGATGCAAATATTTATTGAGATATGTTGACTGTGAGTCAGTGTATTCGTATTGTAATACCTCTCCTCTCTTGCCTCTGACAAATACGCCCCATATTATAATAAAACACACTCAAACTAACTAAAACGTAACACTTTTAAACAATAAAAACTAAAACTGAAACGAGCCACCCCCACTCTGAAAAATAAATGAATCTAAACTGAATTGAAAACACAAATTAAAAACAATGTGTATCTCACCCTTCCGTAGCTCCAGAAAGGCCCCGTACAGCTTCCTGCCTTCTGTTTGTCCCCTCATCTGTCCGACAGACAGCAGGCCTCGTCTGTCAACCTAAAACCCAGTGAGATACGCCTTTCGCAGCCAAGACCAGACACCGGTCCCGTACCTGAGGAGCCCAGCGGCCCTACCCAGCAGGGCCTGCGGCGCCACGACTCCGAGCCAGGTCTGAGAGGAATCCTGAAGAAGAGCAGCTCTGGAGGTCCAGAGTGGAGCAGGACGGACGGCGGTCAGACGGATGCACCGTTCAGCCATGAACAGAATGGCGCCGCTTGTGAGGAAGCAGGAATACAAGAGAGGACGGAGAGCACAGAGCGGCAGGATATTCCTGTACCACCCCGGAGAGCGAGACGCCAGGCTTTGGGTGTGGAGGGAGGCTCGCTGACTGCCGCCCCCTGGAGGCAGAGGGCTCGAACCAGGAGGGAAACCATTGCCTGCACGCCAATAAGAGCCTCGTCAGAGCAGGGCGCTCCTCTGGAGGAGAATAACAGCTGGACTCAGCCACAGGAACAGCTGGTTACCTCTGTGGAGCACAGCTTAGATACTGCCGGGAGAGTTCAGTAAGTATCTGATGGGGTGACACATGCGTGAAAGTGAAAATCAGGAAGGTTTTGCTCTGATTATTATGACATTTTGAAGTATGATGATAAGAATTTGGGGGCAACATTAAATATGTCTGATATTCAGGGTGACAAGAATTTTTACAGTTTTAGGATGAGCAAGAACACAGTTTGTACAGTATTTTTGACGGTTTATATTGTACGTGATCTGTTTAAAAGGCAACAGGACGAGAAGGAGAGCGGTAGGAAGACGAATGAAGAAACCGCAGTCGTGGGACACGTTCAGGTCACACTGATAGACGACACCGTTACACTGCAGGAGACGACCAACACCAGCAGAAGTAAGGTAAGAAACGAACGACCGAATCACAGCAGCAGCTCTGTCGCTCTGTCCCTCCATGATCTCTAATCCCTGGAGAGTCCAGTTCGGAGCCAGTGGGTCTCAGCGGAGAGGGATACAGCTGAACGGTCAGCAGAGGGTCGACAGTAGAGTCACAAACCAAACACACCCTTACAATCGGGCGGTCCCAGCTCTTCCTCTGCCACTGCTCCTCTGCATCTGCCGTTCTGTAAGCCCCCACCGCCACCACAGCGTCCACCCGTAGTCTCCAGCTTTGGAGCCAAACTCTATGTTGTACTGCAGCAATAAACATTTCAAACAAACTGACTGAACCAAGCAGATGGAAGGACAAAATTAACAAAATATATAAAATGGAGATTGTAAAGCACAGGATGGGGTAGCTCACCTTGCTGCAGCGGCCGACTCCGACCTGTCGCCCCTTTGCTGAATGTCGTTTTTAAAATCGTCGTTTTCTTTCCCTTTTCTGAGAAGTAACTACTGTAAGAGGTCACAATTTAACTAAAGAGTGAAAAAAAACTGTTAAACCTCCAAAATCCAGAGGTGAGAAGACAGATGTTGATAGAAAATCCAGTCACAGTAATTGAGCTTTACAAGCAGCAGTGAGTGATGTACTCACTGTTTTGGAGGTTATACTTGCAGAGAGGAAGACCTGCTGGCACTACTCAGGGCTGTAAACTCATAAATTATTGTAATCTCTAAAACACTGTAGAATCAATCGAAGATAAGACAGTAAAGGACACATCCCTTTGTACTACATACAGTATTTATCTTTCATAAAGTCTTCTTTTTTATTAGACTACATAACAATGACATTAAAACAGGTTATTTGCTCATTTCAGATAAACATACAGATGCAAGAAATAGCAATCACATATTTACAGGTTTTTTTTAACCTTTTGACTTTATATGCCTCTCGCCAAACTTACACCCTTGATTTTATGTGTTTTTTATGTGCATCACATTAACTTTGATTCATTTTACACTATATATATATATTTATATATAGTGTACTTTATTGTGATCTGAAATTCCCAGTTGCTTTTCCACTTCGAGTTCTCAGCTTGTTTCTTTCAAATAGGGAAATTTATCTCCGCCCAAAGGACAATTCAGGCCACAAGCAGCTATTATATAAATGTCACTTTGGTGCAGTTGCCTGAAAGAGTACTATTCAACCTAAACAAATGACATTATTTCTGTGCCCCAAAGTGAAAACTAAAAGCAAATAAATACTAATATTTAAAGCCAAACAGTCTAAGCTCTTAAAACTGTCCGAAACCTTTTAGAAATCAATACAAAATGTCACAGATTTTGGCATGTAGAGGTTGTTGGGTTCAGTCTTCCTGCCATCCTGAGCTCCAGAGAGAGAAGAGGGGCGGCGGTTAGATCGGTGTGTGTTTGTCATTCCAATGAAACCAGATACAGCGTCTCCTAGCAACAGCTCTCTGGATTTGGTAGGTGCTAAATGTCTTGAGATCAGACTTAAGTTACTGGCGAATATATCGAGACCACTTTATGTGCCGAGATGAGTTTGACTGTCTCAGAACTGGGTGAGGAATGTAAACAGACGGTTAAATGTTGACCCTTTTATGACCTTCTGATATTAAATGTAATCTCCTTTTCCTGTTGTTTTATTTATAAACTTATAACAACATTTTAATTATTATTTTTTATTATCTACCCCCCCAACCCACCCCCCTTTTCCCCATATGCTGCCCTCTGTAGGAAGAAAACCTTCATGTGGAGAGTGTCGGCCCGCAGTGCTGGGTAAGTCTTCAGCTAGTGTTTTGTAAAGCATAAATCCTTCTAAATCTCCATTATTGTCTCCATTACTAATTTTACAATAGCTTTAGCCTCTTCTGATTCCCCCTCTCTCCCAGGAACCCGTCTTTGCCTCTGTCTTTTCTAGCAGCACGCCCCAATATATCATGTGTTTCAACCAGGTAATCGTTTGAGCCGCTGCATGGCAGATCAGTCGCTGCTTTTTGGTTTGCAGTGTTTTGGATGCAGTGAAGAGTTGTGTCATCGCACAAGTTTCACGTGGCTGCAACTTTTTTTTAAATTATTTTTTTTATTACAGACGATGTGTGAAGTTTCACTCACGCTAACGAGTCAACTCTGTCACCTGCAGAGTGTTTTAGTGTGTGAAAATGATCCTTTCTCTGAAGTGATACATCACAGCTCTTACTTCACAGTTTCCATGTTGTTTCTTATTCTCAGAACTCTCTTGCACTTGGTGGTTTCTGAACTTTATTCTGTCATTTTCCCACGACCCAACCAGCCCAGTTAGATTATAGATTGTAGAAACTATTCTAAAAAGAGTGTTTTGTTAACATTATTAAGAACATGAAGTTCCTGTTTCTTATTAGGTTCTGTTGCTCAGAAGAAAAAAATGCCAGTTAAACTTTTTGTTGAGCATCACACGTTTTCCTTTCATTTAATTGTCTTTATTTATTGTTAAGGACAGTTAACACATTAATATAAATAATAATACATAATAATAAGTGTTTCTGTAAATGAGCCAGGGTTAGCCAAAAGGATAATTGTCAACTGTTAAGATGCTGAAACACTGACAGTAGATACAGTGGACAGAACTTCCAGGTCTGTAAAGTCGGCAGTGTCTTAAACCTGCATTCTGTCTAATGGCCAGCAGGGCTGTAAAAAGGCATCTGATAATATTGAGTCTTATGGAGAAATGACCAGACTTCTCACTTGATTTATGAGCTCAGTAAACAGTTTCCTTATGAGTTTATGGTCTCAAATGCTAGTTTCTAGTCTTCTTCCATACAGCATGATATTAATTTAATAAATCATGGTCTCATTTAGAGTAAAATAGACCATAAAGCAGGGTATGCTTTAGGGCTACCTTGTGATTGACAGGTCATTCTGAAGTCAAACTAGGCCATTCTGTTACTGCGTTGACTATTCCTCACCTAAAATCTTTTCAAAAACATATTTTAGTGTGCTGTTTAGCTGTAATACGAGAACCAGGCGAGCTGCCATTGTTTCCTGCTACGGAAGATAAACTGTCATGGCGACGAAACACAATGTCAAACTCAACAAAATGTGTAATTTTTGTTCCTTGTGTTGTTTTGCTGCCTGACATTTGCTATTTTCTGAGCACCCTTGTTTTTGTTTATTGTCCCCAAATGAATCAGATTCATTCAGCTTTCATTCTGCATCACATTTATTCCCCCTGGGATCTGCCTTCACTTTCCTACGCTGAAGCACTCAGCTGTTACCTTTATTATCCATGTTATCCTGTTTTTACTTCACCCTCAGACGAGTCTGTCCTTCGAGGCACAAGAAGTCTCCTCTCCTACCAAGAACCCGATTCAGCCTCAGTGGAGACAGAAGGTGACACAGGAACGGCGTTTCTTTAAATCTTTTAATATGTTTGATGCTTCTTACATACATTCTTACAACACGTCTCTCTGGCTGTGCAGACGAAAGGAGACGAAGAGAAGCTTCCGACCGATGAAGCCGAGGACATTAACACACAGCAGGAGAGGAAGGAGCAAGAGCACAGACAAATGGCCAAGAGAGGTGAGTTTACTTTCTCTGCACAGTCAGCTTCAGTGGGTGTGTGTGTCTGACTCTGGTCCTCTGTGTTTACCACCGGTTAGGTCTTGGATCTCCAGATTCAGACAGAAATGACGTCTCTCATAACAAGAGACACTCCACTGAAGCTTCAACATGTGCAAACGAAGGTTAGAGCTGCAGTAGTTCATTTGATAACAACTTTTTCTTGTTTGTTTCTGTCTAAACTGTTTGTTCCGTTTGCTTAATAGAACTCTCTGTGCAGTCTGTGGTGCAGTTTAAAGGTAAGGTCACGTAAAGGCTGAGTGATGTAAGTTGTTAAACTCTAAAGTATTTTAAGTTTACATTTCCTCTCCCGTTCCCCAGCAGCTCCACAGAGCCCCCCGCTCTCTGTGGCTCCACACGAGGTGAAGGAGGAGACACCTGTGGATGAATCAAACACGTTTGATGGAGGTTTCTACAGAGATCAGTCACCTCCCTCCGCCTGCGGCCCCCCACCCTGCGGGGACGTGGCTACCGCTGAGAGTGAGCAGGACCTGGGTGTCCTCTGCCAGACCAACACACCCATGTGAGCCTGTTTTTTTTTACCACAGATTATAAGATTATTGGCCTCTGATATCACAATCAATATCTTCAATATTTAGGGAGAGGTAGAGGGAAGCACCCATTTGTCTTTAGTTTTTTTCTTTTTAAAATCATCAAAATTATATTTTACAGCCTGGCCAATATAATAATTATTACATTTGATATAGATGTGTATGTGCTGACTACAGTTTTTTTTTATTATCTTGTGATTGTACATTTCCAACATATGTTGTCTTTGTTGGAAAGTGTAGCCTCTGTGCCCAAAATACAGCCACCTGCTGGTGACTCCTAATAATCTGAATAATTTTGAAATGATAGAGTCACTGCAGTAGTATGTCACAGTTGTATGATTTTCTCACATAATTATTAGCTATCAAATATAATAACCTCATGGAGACTGTCTGTACCAGTGGTTCCCAACCTGAGGGTTGGGACTCCGATTAGGGGTCGCCAAAGCTTCACAGGGGGTTGCGAGGCCTTTTTGAAGTTAAGGTATTACAAAAAAAAAAAAAACAGTAGGCCTATAACGCAGCATTTCATTCATTTCTATGAAGAAAACGAAATTAAATTGTAATTTTTTTGATTATTATTTAAGATTTAAATCTCAAGGTAAAGGGACAGTGAAGACCTAAACACATTATATTCACAGAGCCTTCACTCTCCGCTAAACAGCCTTGTCCTGCATTAGAAAAGTATGCAGTTAAAATAGTCAAAGACCTAACAGAACAATAAAAAGAAAATATTTCATTTGTCAAAAAAGAGGAAATATTTTGTCAAAAAATTCATCTAAATCACTTGTTTTACTCAAATTTCCTGCATTTGTTGCGTTCACAATTTGTTTTTTTGTACAGTTTATCAGTTGTTCTGTGCTGTTGTTGTTATACAATGAATATTACATGAATTATCCATAAAACTTAGTCAGGGGTTGTCAGTTTACTCAATGGTAGAAGAGGGGTCCCTTATAAGGAAAAAGGTTAACCACTAGTCTGTACTGTCTGTGTGAAACTGTAACTGTGTGGTGCAGGCTGACCTCAGCAGTAGCAGAGCACAGGCGGTCGGTGCGTCCGTCCCGTCGGACTCAGGGCTCCAGAAACCCTCTGAGGGCTCTCGCTGCCAGGGAGGACATCAGGCAGGACTACATGGGCGAGACAGTCAACTCAGCTTCAGAGGAGAGGATCCAAGCAGAGAAGAGTGAGGGGGGAATAATTTCTCCTTTTTCCTTTTCCTTTCTCCTTATGTTGTCGTTCTTATTCAGCTTCCTGATCGTGTGTTTTTTCCCACAGAGTCCAAGAACTCCTCCGCTGCAGATTCACACCTGGCCAGATCAGAAGACGTCATCTCGTCCTCAGACGCTGCGACTACCAAATCTTATCCTCCCTTCAGCAGCCTGATGCTCATGCACATCAAAGGTCAGAAAAGATTTGGTTTGTCTGCGTGTCCTCATGATGATGTGTTTGTGTTCAGGTTTTTATATTAACAGTGCCTGTGGTGACAGGTAGGCGGCATGTCCAGGTGCGTCTGGTGGAGCCCTCAGTGCGGTCGCTAAACAGCGGAGACTGCTTTTTGCTGGTCACTCCGCAGCATTGCATCCTGTGGAGCGGAGAGTTCGCCAATGAACCAGAGAAAGCCAAGGTACCACCAAGGACAGTAACGTACTGTAATGTTTTTATTTTCTGAGACAGTATGTTGTCAGCAAAGTTTAAAGTGTTTCGTGACCTAAATACTATGATGACACCCTTTTTGGTAATAGCTGCTATCAAAAGAAAGTATGATAGAAACAATTACTGGATATTGCTCAAATACCTGTTCGGGTCACAGAATCTGAGCAGCCACAGAATTTAGTGCAGCACCTGTGACAGTGTGTCACATTTAGGAGGATCTATTGGCAGAAAATAGACTATAGGTATGTTTTATTAAAGTAATCTGAATCTGAATCTTCTTCCTTTTTAACCTCAATCATTAGTGTATAAAAATTGTTGTGTTGCCATGTTGAACCGCCATGTTTCTAGTTGTCAGTCAGTTGCAATCTGCAACTTCACTACTAGATGTAATCTCATAATCCATTACGTTATTTCCAGTCGTGTACGAGAAACTATGGTTGTTGCAAGACTCGTAAAAAAACGCTAAAGGCCCAAATCTACAACCAGTGTTTGTCTGTTCTTGGCTACTGTAGAAACATGGCGGTTCAACTGGTGGCCTCTGTAAAAGAGGACTCTCTCCCTCTGTAGATAAAATAGACAATGAGCACACAACAGTCCTTATATTCAGGTGATTATACACTAATGAAAACTTGCCTATGAATATACAAATTCTGCCCATAAATCCTCTTAAATGTTAAACACTGGACCTTTAGGTGAATAATAAGTGAATAATATGTTTTTATATATGTTTAGGTTTCACAGTCGTGGTATTAGAAACTGATTATTTTGTCTTTCAGGCCTCTGAGCTGGCATCATCCATCCAGAGTCAGAGGGACCTCGGCTGTGGGGCCTCCCAGATCGTCCACCTGGAGGAGGGGTTGAACTGTGAGAGCGGCCTGGCTGCAGACTTCTGGAGCCTTCTAGGAGGAAGGACACAATACAGAGGTTAGAAGTCAAAGTCTAATTTGTAAAGCCTGTAGATTTCTCCCAGAGCAGATTGTTTTAGGACAGATCTGTTGGATCTGTGCACATATGGCCTGTACTGAATATGATTTGTGTTTGCTTCTCCCCACAGGAGCCAGTGCCGAAGAGGAGGATGAGCTGTATGAGCGAGGAGTGGTGGAGTCCAACTGTGTGTACAGGCTGGTGGACAACAGACTGGTGCCTCATGAGCAGGCCTGGGCCTCCATTCCTAGTGTCTCCCTGCTGGGCTCCACTGAGGTCTGAGGTCTCTTCTGGATTCTCCTGTGACTTGATTGTTCTTGTTGTTGATAATCAGTTGCTTCTCATTTCTTTTATGTCTTTGCAAGTTCTAATAGCCGATGGTGTGTTTGTGTGTGTTCAGGCGCTGGTGTTTGACTTCGGTAGTGAGGTGTACCTGTGGCATGGACAGGATGTTTCACTCAACAGGAGGACTGTTGCTCTCCAGCTGACTCACCAAGTGTGGGTTGGAGCGTATGACTACAGCAACTGTCGAGTCAATCCACTGGATCCCACACAGTGTAACCCCAGCACACCGCTGTAAGTACACACTGCAGGCGGTGAAGCTTTCGGTTCATATCAATATTAGGACACATTACAGAGTACAGCTGTGAGCATTTGCTGCCCATATTGAGCGTTGTGGTGCACACAATAAAAATAAATACAGCATTAAATGTACAGTGCGTGCAGCAAAACCCAGAGAAGTCTGCAGTCAGTCGGGCTGTAAAACCAAAGCAAATGGTTTGTAATTCCACACTGCACACAGAGAAACCTCAGCATACAGCATTGTGTCCACATGTCACGCTGTAAAGTTCCAGCACGCTGTTGTAAGTCCACACGGGACGCTGACATGCAGCAGCTGGCAAAAGACAGTTGTTTGGAAATTCAAACAAGAAGACAGGAGCCCCAGTTTGCTGCAGCACACTGTGCAAACATACATTCACACTGAGAGACAACATTAAAGTATACTGTATGCCTACAGTTCACTCTGCAGTTCTGCACTGAACCCTCAGGAGACATCTCAGCCCAAAACCATGGGCATTAATCTGCTCTTACAACAATATCCTGCAAAGGCTTTCCACCAGATTTCAGGAACCTGGCTGCTGGGATTCGCTACCATTCAGCTAGACAAGTGAATGAAGCAGAAATGAGAAGATAATTGTTTATTATAACATATGATATTTGATGATTAAGTCTAGACAGAAAGTCTTTGGCATTCACATCATCATCTTCTGATCTGGCAAGATGTGAATCTGCCATGGAGGAGTTCTTGGACTCTACAGGGGGTGTCTGCTCTTCCCATGGAGTCCAGACTCTGGTGGTGGCGGCTGATGACTCTGCTGAGGCTGATGAAATAATGAAGCTGATGAATCTGCAAAGACTGGGCAGTGCAGTTAACAGCAGCATAGGCACAGAGAGAGAGAGAGAATCAAAAACAATCCTTTAAATATATTCAATTTCTGCCAATAGGCTGTTAAATGTTACACACTGGACCTTTAATTGGAATTAAGGGAACAGACCATGAAAAAAAATAATGTGCAAAAACATGCACGCAAAGAGGCAGGTTAATATGATAATCATAATTAGCATAATAACATAATAGCTTAGCATAATTTAAGGGCATGAAAACAAAACAGTTTTGAAGGATTTTGCTGTTTTTAAGCCTCTAAACTGTAAATTTACAGCATGTCATACTGATAATGGGTTCTAGATATTGGACTGAGTCTGTAACTGTGTCCTCAGGAGGGGAGAGGGGCGTCCCAGCTGGGCGCTGTTCGGCTGCGTCTCAGAGCACAACGAGACGGCTCTGTTCAGAGAGAAGTTCCTGGACTGGACGGGCAGGAGTGGAGGCAGAGAGGAAGCTGCTCCGGTGAACAAGGAGACACAGGTTCAGATCCCAGTTTAACATCCTGCAGCACACACTATATGCTGGTTTGTTTTTCCAGCTCTTTTTATCTTCTTCTCACCTCTCTTCACAGCCCGTCCCAGTTCAGTCTCCCCAGCCCGCGTCCCCGTCTCCAGGCCTCCTGAATGCCTGTGACGCCAAAGCTCTGGTGTCGGGTCAATCGCAGGAAGGGGACGGATTAGTCCACAACGTGTTGGCCGGGGTTGACGTCCAGAGGGGCCACGGAGTCATCGCGCTGGAGGAAGGACGTCAGATGGAGCTGAAAACAGTCGCCGTGGACACGTGGCACGTCCAGGAGTTTGATGACAGTGAAATTCCCGTGGAGAGCACTGGACAGCTTCACGAAGGAGACTCCTACGTCATCCGCTGGACGTACAGCATCAACAGCGTTGGTCAGTGACCTTTGCACTTCTTATTTTTCTTGTACTTTTTGCTGTAGGATTTTACACTTATTCTGCAGTTTTATCCATTTTCAAAGCTTCAACTACAAAAATGGCTTCAATTTATATGTAAAATCCACACAGTCCAGTGATGATCCATGTTTTTCTTTGCTGTAGATGACAGAAACGGTTCTGATGAGTGTAGCAGAGGTAAAAAAGAAAGCACCGCCTTGTTCCTGTGGCGGGGCTGTCACTCCAGCGTCAGTGGGCGGGACACTGCTGCTTTCCTGTCTATTGGGATGAACAACCACGAAGAGTCACAGGTAATAATATACAATAATATACACGACGACAACCCAATGAGAGAGCATTTACTCAAGTAGCGTACTGAAGTGCACCTTTGGTACTTTTATTCAGGCGTTATATGTTTATTTTGCCACATTTCTGAGGGAAACATTTTTAATTTACTTGATGACTGAAGTTAAAGTGCAGTGTGAGGGGTCTACATCAAATATTATAAATAAATATAAATTCTTCATCCACTATGTTATGGGTCAAAGCAAGCAGCATGACTTCCATGTGTCTTTTTACATTATTTTTGCCTTTTAAAGGGTCCAAACTGATAATATTTAGCAAGATTTCACTCTATCTGACCTTCATCAGAGCATAAAAAAATACAACAATGGACAGACAGGTGCAGATAAAAGAAGTCTTAATCATTGGCAGTATGCAAAACACAAAAGCTCCACCTATTGGGTAGTTTCCAAGTACTGTGAGGCGTACAAATAACACAGAAAATACAGAAAAGCTGGTGGAACACAGTAAATGTAGGGAAACATATAAAATATAAGATATTTTAACTGAAAAACATTATTGTGGCACATCAGTAAAGCTCTGAATAAAAATATATAAAGATCAATAAATTGTTTTATTTCTAAATCTTCAGACATTTGACCAAATACGTCTTTCCTCATTGAACTTTATCACTGCGGCCATAACAGATCATGAAAATGTGTTAAATTTTTACACCATTTGACACGAAACACCAAACCTTACATCATACATATATTAAATGGGGCCTTGAAAGGAATCAGGCCAGAGGCGTCATAAATCAGAGATCTCCTCATCCTGCATTTTTAAAGGGTACAATATATATATAAACTTACTTTACTTTTTCTTTTACTGTAGCTACTTTAACTTCAGTGTACTTTTATACTCTAAATACGTATGTGAAATGTTGACTACAGAGGTTTTATTTGATTTTTTTAAACTCAAAACCTACCTTTTTAGTCTTTTAATGGATTTGTATTTACTTTAATTACTAATTTATTCATTTTTCTATGTATTTATGTTATTATTACTATTTATTCTGTATATATTCTTTATATTACTTTATCGATTTGTACATCTGACTCCGTTTTATTAGTATAATCCATCTCTTATTTTTATTGTTTTTTTCTTATTCTTCCTCCAGTGTTTCCTCAGTTTCGTGTTTTAATGTGTTTTAATGTGTGAAGCACTTAGTGTAACACTAAATAAGTAACACTTGCTTGTATGAAAAGTGTTTTACAAATAAAATCTGATTGACTGATTGATTTTAATTAAACCTTTACTATAATAAATACAAGTACTGAGTTAAGGTTTGTCTCTGCAGGTGGTGGTACCTCAGGGAAAGGAACCTCCCTGTTTCCTGCAGCTGTTCCAGGGAGGCCTCGTCATTCACAGGGGCAAGCGAGAGGAGGCCCCCACAAATGCAGGTGCAGTAAGGACATATTTATTGTTTTCCTGTATTTATCGCACTTGTTTTGTCATGTGATTTTAAAGATATATTCCCATCTGTCTGCTGCAGCAGAGTGGCGTTTGTTCTGTGTGCAAGGAGCGCTCCCAGAGGAGGCCTCGCTGCTGGAGGTGGATTGCTGCTCTGCAGGTCTGAGGTCCAGGGCCTCTGTTGTCCTCCTTAACAGCCAGCAGGGGGTGCTGTATCTCTGGACCGGCTGTAAAGCTCATGCCAGCTGCAGAGAGGTCAGCAAGAGGGCAGTGGAGCGTCTCACTCAGATGTAAGTCACACACACACACACACACACACACACACACACACACACACACACACACACACACACGCTGGGTGGGCTTTCAGACGATTGTGGGATCCAGTGATGTTTTAACACCAAAGGTTGCATTTTCCACCTTGTGTATCTTGTGAATCTTGTGTGTTTGTCAGGTGTCCACCAGAGTTGGGTCTCAGCCAAAGGAGCCCCGTGCAGGTGCAGGTGGTGGAGGAAGGTTCAGAGCCTGCAGACTTCTGGGCAGCACTGGGACAGATGGACAGGAAGGCCTACGACTGCATGCTGCAAGGTAGAACACAACGTTGGTTCTCTCCACCCCCGACATTTCTCTTAGCCCTGTAAACCTTAAAGTCCTCAGTACTGGAGGAAGTATTCAGATTCTTTACAAATCCTCAAATTTAAGAAGCTGGAACCATGAAATGTTTTTCCATGTAAAATGATTACACTACTGTACATACAGAACTTTAAAAAGTTGCTGTGTTTATATAGTTCTCACTTATTTTTATTAATATTTTATATTTTTCTAACTTTACATTATTCTTTTACTAATATACTGTGTATTTTAAATAGAAAATCCACATTTCTTATGTTTATGTACAAATTTGTTTTTATTTAACACGTCTGTTTCCCATGCCAATAAAGCAACTTTGAATTGAATTGATTCAGTTGTAGTTGTAAATACTGTTAATTAATTCATAACAAAACCTCATATTTTATAAGCTCTTTGTCTGCAGAAGCCTTAACGAAACGACTCAAGTAAAGTACAAGAACCTGAAATCTGTGCTTAAGTACAGTTCTTAGTTACATTCCACCTCTGAAGATCAGAGTAAAAACATGAAATGTCCATCTTCTGTCAGATCCAGGAAAGTACAACTTCACACCTCGCCTCTTCCACCTGAGTGCCTCCTCGGGGAGCTTCCAGGCCGAAGAGCTGCAGAGTCCAGCACGCCTGCCGGGGCTTGTGATGGCGATGCCCTTCGTCCAGGAGAGTCTGTACTCCGTACCGCAGCCGGGTGAGAGCAGCTCTTTCACATTTTTCTGGGGTGCCTAAATTAGCCCAAAAAAGGTGCCATTACCCTAATTATCCACATCCCTAACCCTAAACACAACATAACCCTAATTATTTTTGCCATTTTTAGTCCATTTTAACAGGAACATTTTCAGTGCAGTTACGTGTAGGAGTACCCCCTTAGAAATACCAAGGGCCAAAAACTTGCTTGAGGGGTTTTGGGGGCCATTGAAGTACATGATAAGAAGGTTAATAAGGGTACTCATGTTAACAAAAATCTGAATCATTTCAAACACTGATTATTCATCTTGAAAATAGCAGCAACTCTTAGCACAAGGTCCACTTATTGAGGGGTTTTTAAAGCTCTTAAACACATCCTCATTGCTCAGTTGTCATGGAGATGGTTCACTTATTATCTATAGACTGTAGATATACGAATAAATCATATATTCCATCAACAATGTGCTTTATTAAACCCCCCAAAAATCTCACAGGGACATCAAAGTCAAACTTTATTTAATATTCTAATCTAATTCTACTTTCTTGTCTAATATATTCCCCTTACTTTCTTGTCTGTCCACCAGCCTTGTTCCTGCTCGACAACCGTCTGGAGGTCTACCTGTGGCAGAGGGGTCAGCCCGAGCAGACCGAGAGCTCGGCTTCGACCTGGAGCCGCTGGCACAGCGAGAGGAGGTGTGCCATGCAGACGGCACTGCAGTACTGCAAAGGTAGGAGGAAGCTGTTCCATGGGAATGCCTCAGAAATTTAATAAAAATTGGGTTTTCTGATAGTTGATGTGTGTAAATTATGCGATGTGATTTTTCTCTGCATCCCAGAGATGAACCCAAGACGCCCACCGCAGGCCTACCTCATCTTTGAGGGGGCAGAACCTCTCACCTTCACTAATGTGTTCCCCCGCTGGGAGAGGAGCCTGGGGCCCCACACACAGGTACCAGCTCGTGAAGTTATATAATCAGGTAGTGTTGTGTAGTCTTGTTGGGGCGACATATAGGTTCACAGCTTCACAGAGATGGTTTTATTGACATTATCAGGCAAAAAGAAGACTTATGTAATGGATTACATTGTACAAGCACATATATGTTGTCCATTTCTCAAGTATGGAGGCTGTTTTGTGTGTGATTGTTTTCTTGCTTGCAGCCAGGAGGATTTTAAAGAAGTAAATTCATCCTGAGCTGTGAGTCTTTCTGGGAATTTCTGTTCCAAAACCTTTCAGCATTTCTTTAGACATTTCTACCAATGTGAACTAATTAAAGGGGAAGGAAAGGACCCGTTCATCCTGTCCCTGAAAACTTATTTGACTGCATTTCAATTTTGGAGTCACAGAATATGGTATTACGTTCTTCTAGCAGAACCTTGAGGCATGATTCTTTCTCCCATTTTTGTTGTAAATATTTGTGATTTTAGAGGTTTATTATCTTTAATCTTACACGCTCAATGTTTAATTTCTTTACTAAAGTCGTCTCTGACCTGAAGGTATTTGAAGGAAGCTCTCATAGGAGTAAGAAAGGTGTTTAAAAGGCATTATCTCTACAGACTCTATTTTATTAATATCTGTCCGCCATGTCAACATGATATAGGCTCCTCACCGACTACAGCTACATAAATACATAAATCAGTCCATAAAACCTGCAATGATTTCTCTTCCTTTCACTCTCACTGTATTGGCTCATCAATTTAGTTTTCTGAATCTGAATGCAGGAATATATCTCAGAATTGCCCTTATAACTGAACATGATGGGGGGGGTTACTGTGCTTTAAAGGGCATGTACCCCTAAGAGAATTTCATTAGATTAATGATGCAGCATTAAAAAGGACTGTCAGGTAGAATTGTCGGTCTCTGAACTGAATCAAACTGAGTTTAAAAAGAAGCATTTTGGGGGTTCACACACAAGACAAAAGTTCTTGTTGGAATAAGTTAATATTTGTAATTTTTTTGGCACAGTCTATATAATAACTGTTATTATAATTCTTGTGGGGATTGAAGTAAATACAACATATCAGTCAAAAAAGAAACACTTTACTGCCTCTTCAGCCTGGCTTTTATTTATTTATTTTTATTATTTACCATCTTTTATTCAATTATCTTATCGTATTTTCTTTTGTAAATTTCATTTTAACTATTTAATTAATTTATTTTATTTAGTTTTTAGTATAGTTTTTATTTTATCACAGGCTACAGGTAAAATAATCATGCATACAAAAGGAAGAGATTTAGAGAGCATAATCAATAACAGCATCAATTAATTAAAATAAATGAATGTTTGTAATTTTCAGTTATCAGTTAAATTCAACAAGGTTACTTTGGTAATTAATGAAGTATTGAAGTCTCCTCTTCTAGAAAATCCACTGTACACATCACATATTTCTTATTTATTATCACAGTCTGTCTCTTTCCCTGGTTTGTATTTGGTATGTGTGTGTCAGGGCGACGCAGGGCGGGTGAAGCTGACCTTGGTGCAGGACGCCCTGGCCCAGCTCATGAAGACCCAGTACCCTCTGGAGGAGCTGCTGCGGAGCCCCTTGCCTGAAGGGGTGGACCCCCATCGCCTGGAGGTCTACCTGTCTGATCAAGACTTCCAGGTAAGCTGATGGAGCAGCGTGCAGTGATATCTTTCAACCAGCAGGCTGCAGTGTTCACCATATTTTTCAAAATGACAAAAGACGCTCTATGATCAATCCTGAGAGGAAGTTTAAACTTTAACATTTATATTTTATTATGTGGATTGATTTCTACATCGTTTCCCTCCATAAATAAATCACTACAATTATGTTCCAGACTATTTTGGAAATGAAGAGAGATGAATACGCCTCCCTCCCGAGCTGGAAGCAAATTGATCTGAAGAAAAGCAAAGGGCTGCTTTGCTAGACGGCGAGAACAAGCGGAGGCAGACTGACGCTCCTGCAGCAGGGACTTCCTCCTCCACCGAGAAGGGAAGACGGCAGGGGGGATATTTGCACCATGTTGCTGCACAAAGGACTGCTCACAACGTAATAAAAAGAGTAAAGGAATTCACTTTTATTTATGTCAAATTAGTATGAGTGTGTGGACTTTTTATCAGACATGGATTTCTCCGTAGCTATTGTTCAAAAACAGCAAAAACAAAACACATTTTCCTATGAAACTTCATTTTATCTGTACAAATCAATGAAAGATAAAAAAAAAAAAAAGGTGTGTGGCAGTAAGGGAAGGACATCAGTAACAAGGACGGGAAAACAAAAAGGAGTGCTTACAAAAAAAAAAAGATCAATGCTAATAAACGATGTGAACGAAAAAAGAATAAAAGGCTAACCACTTTCTAAATGTTTCCTCCTCCATCGATCAGAACACCTCTGCATGCTCAGAGCTGCAGTTTTTTGCTTTAAGTTCAGTTTACACATTTAAAAAAACAGCTTCTCACTGAAATCTGTGTGTGTTTGACTCCACAGTCTATGATATGTCCTACGATGTGCGGATGTGTTCATTTGTCTGCCAGCCTTGTGTGTACAAAGGTTTCGTGCCATGTGTATTGAAGCCTAAGCCCTTGTGTTCACTGTGGCTGTGGGTAATGCCTTATTAGGACTCCTTAGGGATTCACTATTAGCCATGCATGGAAGAGCAGGTAGATATGCTCCAATAACGTCCCTCTGGCCCAAAACAACACGTTAAATCTGCTTCACCTCAATCAACACACTGTTCAAAACATCCCCACAACACGACAACACATACAGACAGACTGTATCGTTCAATAGTGTGTGAAAGCTCAATATTTCTAACAGGAAAAAACAATCAAAGGATAATAGGGATGCACTCAAACTGTCTTGGTCTACTTTGATATTTGTGTAATATCCTTATTTTTGCCCACATGTAGATAGAAACAGCTAGTACAGTTGAATCTGAGCGCAAATTATAGCTTTTTTAAACACTGTGTTGTCAGAATTAAAGATCTGTTTCTTGACTCACTGTCTAGCACTGACTTTGTACGAGGATAACACTAGACTTCTACAATCACGCTAGCAGCTCTGTGAGGCTGCACTGAGCTAAATGCTAACGTCAGCGTGCTAACATGCTCACAATGACAATGCGAACTGATGTGTGTAGCAGGTATACTGTTTGCGAACTGGCAGTAAACACAAACTACAGGCTGATGAGAACGTCATTAACTGTGCAGGTATTTCAAAGTATTGGCACATTCAACTTAAAGGACCAGTGTGGAGGATTTAGTGGCATCTAGTGGTGTAGTTGCAGATTGCAACCCCTTATAGGCATGAAGGAGGAACAATTACCAGTAGATAAAAACAGCTAATTTCTCATTCTTATTTTCAGACACACTTATGAATATAATATTCTATTTCTGCCGATAGAGCCTACTAAATGTTACACACTGGACCTTTAATTGGCGCAATGTAATCACCAAAGTAATTAGGATTCATCCTGTGGGGTTCATGAATATCTGTGCCAAATTTCATGGCAATCCAAGTTGTGGAGGAAAGTTCAGGGGATCACCAAAGTCATTAGGATTCATCCTCTGGGAGCCACGAACGTCCGTCCAAATTCTTCAAATCCCTCCAGTAGGGGGTTGAGATATTTCAGCGTTGACCGAAGTGGTGGATGGACAGAAAGACGTGCTTCTAGCGTGGCTAAAAACAATCAATTAAACATAGTACAGCGCAGTAATAGGTCAAAGGGGCATTATTCAACTGGAAAAAAAACCTTTTACTCTGGTGCTGATGGCTAAAACTACAGCTGCTGGTCTCTGAAAGCTCACAGACCGGTGATTTCTACCAGCGTGGGAGTGTCTGAGGGATGTTTCACAAGTCACGCTGACCCCACAAATTGTAAATAAGTCGGTTTAGTCTTCCGCTGGTCCGCTGAGTTGGAACCCCTTTGGGTTCACTGGCTAACTGGGTGTTATTTTCCTCAGAATGGATTAGCTGACTAAGCCTCCATGTGACTGTGCTGTGCCGGCGAGATTGGATTTAGGCCCACCGCTGGTTTGATGGTGCACTCGAGAAGACATTTTCCAAAGGCCTTTCACTCGCAGGCAGCTTACACCGTCAACAGACCAACTCTAAAAAGATCTGCCGCGGGGTTACATACGAAAAAAAAAAAAAAAAGCCTGTGTCTGAATGTGTGACATCTACTTCATGTAGCTGGAGCACTTTTTGATGATGAAAGAAAAACATCCTTTTTATGTGAGATGTGAAAATGAGGCACAGAGTGAAGTCCCTGCTTCCATCAGAACAGCCTGTTTACCGCTCAGAAGTGTCCTTATTAATTTGGCCTGGATGATGAGTTTGGGAAGTGTGCCTTTTTCAACACCGCCTGGCAGAATATGTGCCTGTTAAGCATCAATTGAGTGCAGATTTTTTTTGTTGAAAAGAGGCAGCTCAAGGATAAAATTGACTGTTTGTTTGTGTGAGTATTTGTGTTTTGCTCTAAATGGCTTGTTCTCTCTGCGCGTCAGCTCCGGGCATGTATCGCTCCGGTTCAGAGGCCAGCGCCGCCTCGCGCAAAACCACCATGTGATCTTCGGCTGCGTGGAGCGACTGGTCGATCCAGTCCATACTGCCGGACATGTGACAGGCGTTGCGGGTGACCAGCACCAGGTGGCTGACTGAAAGCAGGAGAGCGGTGGCCCTGAGGAGGAAGAAAAGGACAAATCTATTTAAATGGCTTTTTTTGGCTGCTGCTGCTGATGGAAGAAACATATTACATAACGACACTTATTTCTAAATTTTAAGGAAAAAAACTGGATTATGGCGAGTTTGCTGGAATGGAAATAACATATCACATAAATTGCATTGCATAAACTTCCAATCCAATGTGATTAAATGATGAAAAACACGAAAATCGGGAGTTTTCCTGGTAGCATTAATCTGCTGTGACACTCTGAGCATTTGTATTACCGTCCCTACCTCTGTATACATCAACGGTTATTACATTATGGATAAATCAAGTCAAGCAGTCGCTCCTCTCCAACTCTTACAGTCACCTAATCAATCACAACAGCAGGTCTTTGCATTAAGCTATCAAACCCAAAGAAGTTCATTTAAAATGATGGGACAACAAATGTGATTACCTGGCATCCAGGAGAATTGGATCCAGAGGAGGATACATTGATCGGACCACATCGTCCACCCTGCGAGACGGGAAAGAGAGGAATGCGAGGAGGATGCAGGTTAGCTGTAGAGGCCCGTAATGTGCGTAATATTGAGTTGTCGCGAAAGAAAACACCGGTGCGTTTACCTCGGGCTGATGCGTTTGGCCACGGTGATGATGTCACTCAGGCTGGCTGGGGCTTTGACCTTTGCCCCGGAACCCATCGTCATGGCAACCAGCTTTTCAGTCAAAGTGTGGCAGATCTGATACGTGGAAGTATATCGTGTGTTAATGTGGGTCAATTAGGGGATAAATACATGGGCAAAAAACTAGAGTAAGAAGCTCAAGTTACCTTCAGGATAGAGATGCAGTGAGAGACCAATCCACTGTCGGAGAAAAAGTCACAGAGTTAGTTGCAATCGCTGACAAAGTACAGTTGTAGCACTGAGAGACATAACTTTTTAAGCCCAGTTTAGACCAAAGACTCCAGAGCAACGACTCTCTGTAAATTCATTCTAACTTTTCATGCTTTTTTTCTTCAGGATCTTTAAATATGAATGAGGAGAGTGACAGTGAGGTACAATCGCAGTTTATTGATGAAAAGCAAACATTAAAAAACAAGAACGTTCGAAGTTGGAGCTGTCCATCTACTTTATTAAGTAAATTTTAAGGCTTGTGTCCAACAGACACAACACTCTGCCAGCTGACAGTTCTTAACTGACTTGACTGGCTGGCTTTGCCAAGAGCTGGTTGGCTATTGTAAAGGACCGCCCCCTGAAAAGTCGATGATTCGAATCATCAGTCGAGAAGATTGACTCTTAATTTGTCAGTTGAATCTCTGCATTTTTTGTTTTTTAACTGTCATTGTACACAGAGCGACAGCATGGCAGACTGTAAACTTCATGAACTAACGCTCTCGCTCATGACTGAGTGAAGACCTTCTTGAACCAGACGGAGGTACAACCTCCTCTACTGCCGTCCACTATGACTGACTCTTCAGCTGACAGCGCTCCAGCAGAGACGCTCCGCGGTGGACCGAGATTTTATAACTTAACTATGAGCAGGATGCACACTTTTACTTTCGTCACTTTCGTCAGCCGGTTTGAGTCGAGCAGAAATGGGTCAGTTCACTGCCGCTGCTCAACGTGAATCTTTGGTCCGATCTGGGCGTAAAAAACACTTCTTGTGTCATGGCACAATGCCACCAAAGACGTACGAGGCGTCCTCTATCCAGTCCTCATTCTCCAAGATGGCCTCGATGTGAGGGTTGGTGATGACCACATCGTCCAGCTCCAGCTCCGACGGCTCACTCTGGGTCTCCATGGCTCCGATCAGATCCACTGTGGGTCTGTGAGACAGAACAGGGGAAGCAGAGTCTAATAGCAAATATTTTTCTTGGGTTCCCCCTAACTGGTAAAAGTAGCCCTGAGTTGAAGAGAAGCTAAATGACTAAATTTGATGTCTACTTCAAAGCAGTATCTTATTGGCTACCGGATATCTGAAGGTTGTGGGAATCAATATTTAAGATACTTTGCGACCTTTTATTTTGCTACCTGGGATTGATTGAACATACAGTAACTGATCGAAGTGTAAAGGGATGAAATCAATAGGATGAAAACACAGTGGAGAAACAGCACACAGATATAAAATGTTGAGGTAAATTAAGTCCAGCTGTGGTTGGAGAGTACATTAATGGAGTGACACCTGTGGCTTAGAGGTTAAGACGGTAATCATGAACAGCAGCGTCTCTAGTTTGGGGACCTTTGTCTCATCTCTCTCCCTTGTTTCCCAGCATCTCTCCACTATTTTGTACAGTATCTTATAGAAGGTCATTATAATGAGAAACTTTCAAAGATACAAAGTCAATATTTTGAGAAAGTTTTCTCATTAGAATCTTTTTTCCCTGCCACATTGGTGGAAATGTGCTTCAACAGTATCAACATATCTTTAGGATAAAAATTATTATTGCTGGACCCCAGAAAGCTTTCCCCTTTTCCCCGGCCCTGTCAAACAGCACATAGGCCGTGCAGAATAGACAATAGATTATAGACATTACAGTACATTTTAAGACCTTAAATTCTTTTTAGTTAAGTTTAATTTAGATGCTTTTTTGCACTGATTCACTGACTTGGAGTCGAAGGGGTGCAGCAGGTCGTGAGGGTGGCAGTAACGGTGTCTGCACACCACCACCAGGGCAACGAAGGAGGCCAGGAAAATAGTGGCCAACACCCCGATGGCCACGATCACCACTGTCTCCATGGCGACTCCGGTTCCCACGGCGGCTGCAGGCGGCAACTCGTTTTCGAGAGGAAAAGAGTCCAATCAGGGTTTTTTCGGCTGATTGTCCGAGCTCGATTATAGATGGTAGCTCATCTGTCGAGGGGAGAATAATTGGTGGTTTCAGTCTGATTGGGTGACATCAAACCGGAGAAGAGTGACATTATCTCCACACTTGAGGGTATTTCTGCGAGAAATTTTCCTGATTTTTCATTTTTTGTTGCAACCCAAAGCACCTCTGAGCCGCTGTGGAGGAGAATACAATCAGCAGTGTTTTGGTCTGTGTCTAAATGTGGCACACCTACAACGCACACATAAAACTGATCTTTATCTGAAGCGCATAAAGAGCTGAACTACACTTGCCCTTTGTTTGCACTCCGCTGTGTTTGCCGTACGGAGACTTTTCTGCTAAATTGGAGCAACCACAACCAACAACACACATTAAATTCATTCTCTCGAGCAGCCACAAAGTCAACATCTTCAAAAACAGTGTGGAGATATCCTGTTTGGACTATCAGCTCCAGTAAAACACACATCTAAACCCGCAGCCTAAACCTCAACAAAGACCAAACCCCTGTTAACAAAACTCTCAAGAACTTTGACCTCTTACCTACTGGTGCTTTCAGTCCTCGGCTGAAGTATTTTTGGATTATCTGCAGTTTAATTTAGCCAACGTGTTCCCACACTGTACAAGTGTAAAGTATACCTGCCCTTCTGCCCAGGTCTAGTCACTCATTAACCCACGTCCTGCCCTACCTGATCACTTGTGTGGATGTGCGTAAACTCTTTGCGATTGGCTGCCGGGAACAGCTCTCTAGGTGTACCATCTAATTGATTTGTAATTAGGTGTGACATTTATAAAGCAGAGATACAGCTTTGGAAAGCACAAATAACCACAGGGCGGCTGAACTTTCAACATTACAACACTGTAAACCTGCTTTTGCTTTTTTTTTTTTTTTTTTGCCCCAGATGATTATGTGAGCTTCTGCCGTGGAATGCCGTAATTCTTTAATCAGATTAATTTGTGTTACACTCGCTGTATCACACAGAGCTTTCTCCTGCCCCAAAGCTCTTCTGACTCCTTTTCTTTTCGCTGAAAAGCTTAAAAACCTCTTTCTGCTAAAGTGAAACACACACACACACACACACACACACACATATATATATATATATAAAAGGGGCCAACAGGAAACTCAAGATGTTTCTCCCACATTCCTCAGTGGCTGTCTGTGAGGATTAATGCAACAACAGTAAAAAAGTTAATAGTTTAAGTTAGTTTTTTGCCTTTTTGGCACTTCCTGCAAGTTCTGTATTGAAAAATAAACATGTGTTGCTTTTAATAGAGGACTAATGTTTCCCTTTAAAGCTTAACTAAGATTATTTTACTGCAAGCTGAGAACAAAACTGTGAGTCTCTGTTGTGGAAAGTGCATTTACAGCTCTTAGATCTTTCTATCTTTATTTATATTTAAAAATTCCTTGATTGTGATTCTTATGCACCAATGCATCAGGGCAAATTCCTCTATGTGTAAACTTACTTGGCAATAAACCCGATATTTACTTTTACTTTATACATATTCTGCTACTTTATACTTTATTTTACAGCTTTAGTAACTTTTCTTACCAAGATTTTACACACAAAAGAAGTGATGAGCTGACAGCTAACAGTTATTGTGCATTACAAAGTCACATTTCATTTTGTACTGCCGTTGTTTTATTGAGTGGCTTTTTATTTGTATGTCTTCATGCTAAAAGTCAGATTTTACATTAAAAGACATTTAATATCCTTTCATGACCCATTGTTCTCAATTAGACTATAAGCAAAAGTACACAAAGTTATAAAACAAAAGATTCTTTTAGTACATTATGCTGATAAAACTGTGAGTGCAGAACTCACTGAAGTGAAGGATCTGAACACTTTTACAGTTTATGAAGTTGTGAAGGTCTAACACACAGAAAACTCATCCAAAGCGGCTCCGAGTCTCAACCTGAGGACAGAAACAGAAAGTTCTTGTTCTGCCTGAATCACTGTGCAATGTGTCGGAGATAAACATACAAAAAAACCCACAGTAAATAAAACTAAATGTAATATTTCACCATTATTCTCCCTCAACTGATCGATCAATGGAAACACACACACACAGGCGCGCGCTCAGAGTAACGCGCACATATCAGTTAAAAGTTAATCGATTGAAGTCTATTGAACGTGTTTTAAAGCACCAAACACTTTAAAGGTTGAAAGAAGCAAACAAACAACTGATTTCCAGAAACTCACCTCAACATTTTTGTCCTTTTAAATTTGGATTTCTTTCCGGAGACCAAATAACTTTCCTCTCCGCCACCGGGCGCGCGGAGACGGCACCGACATCTCCAAATCTGGCCGCGTGAACGCGCACACAGGGCTCGGTGAGTGAGTGATGATACCTGGCTGCGCGCGCCCTGCTGCAGCTTTATCAGCGCGTGGGGGGCGCGCGCGCTCGCTGCCATGTTTTTAAAGGCTGCTTTTTTTTGGTTTGGGGGGGGCAACAGTGCACAGAGAGGTCGGTACAGTCACCGCTAGGTGGCGCACGTTACCCGCTTTAATGCGGTGGTTGTCCTCACATAAGAGGGAAGGTAAGGTCATAGAGGATTGTATGGAAATAAAAACCCAGTAGAACAAACAGTGAGAAAGAGAGGAACCCCCCCCCCACCACCACCAGGCCTGTTTTTATTTATTTATTTATTACTCAGGTATTAATGAATTAATAATTAACAGCATTCATTAATTAATGATGACTCATTTCCATTTAGGATTCCATAACCCGCAGTGTTGGACTCATATTACATATTGTTGTAAAATACAGATACAGCAATGTAGTATTGTATATAAATACAAACCCAGTAGAAAACAAACAAAATGACCGATGATAAAGGGAGACAATCCCCCAATTCCCAACCAGTGTTGGGCTAGTTACTCAAAAAATGTAATTTCTTACTTTACTTATTACTCCCTGCCAACAGTAATTAGTTACACTACTAGTTATATTACTTTTTGAGTGAGATAAGTTACTTTTGGGCTTCAGGAGACTCAAATGATGCTACCTGTTGTTGATTATGTGACTTGAGAAAAGTCCTAAATGTTTAGAAGAGTAACAGGACTGAGTGAAAACCTGAGGGACACGACTAAAAGGTTTATTTTAACAAACATGTTATGAAATAAACAATTATTTTCTGTCTGAATTGAAAATAGAGTCACACAATAATGATAAAAAACAAGATTTCTGATGGATTCTATTCAATATATTAAACTGTGAAGTGTAGTGTTAGTGTAGGTAGTATCTATTATACATGATACATGATGGTTTCGCCAGAAATTGCATTTAGAACAAAGTGTTTAATAATATCGTGTTTTATAAAGATAGTTTTCATGCATATTTATTCATGTTATGTCCCACAGACGGTGGAATGGCCCCTCTATAAATAAATATAGTACGGTACTCTATGTATACTGCTTGCCTTGTACAGTTTCCAGTTTTACTTTGTGGAGGTGGGTGTCGTTTACACTCAGCTGCAGGAGAGAGAAAGAAAAGTGTGTGTGGACGGCTTGTATGAGCAGCACCAGGTGAGTTGACGCTCTCAGCTGATGCTCATTGAGTAATCACTCTCTCCTCTCTAAATGCAGCAGTGTGCTGGAGCCGAGTTGGCCCGCCGCACGCAGACCAGAGAGGACGTCTGGAGTTAATCGTTGTGGACTTTGGAAGAGGGCTAAAGAAGCCTTTGAAATAGCTGGACAGCTGAGTGTTTGTGTTGAAGGTGTGTGCGGCTGAGGTAATAATACATTTGTGTGAATTATTTGATCTGTGGTGCACGATTGAAAGACCTGCTACATAGTTCTATTCTTCTTTTTTTGGCTCTTCTGGCACTTAATTATCTTCCTTTTTATCAGTACTTATATCTGTCATTGTGATGCTGCAACCCTTGAGTCTGAGTCTCCTCTTGGGATCAATAAGGACTTATTATCTCCAAATTATTGTCTTAAATTTCAACTTCTCTTTTGCAGCTGTGCCAGGGTGCAGGCCCTTTCCCTTGCAGATGTTTTTATTTGTCAAATCAAGAAGAAAAGCACAGGTGTAATTAATAGCATTCATTAATTAATGATGACTCTTTTGCATTCAAGTGTCACAGTAGCAAACATAAAGCTTAATAAAAAACCCACAGCCCAAAGTTAATGTTAATTAATCCCCTTCTACCAGGATTTTGGTGATCCTGTGACAGCCAAAGCTCCAGAACAGCCACTAAATGGACCTTGAGGTGAGATTGTTTTGCCAATTATATTCCTCTGAGAACTACATTCAGCACAATTCGGAGGCATTTCCTCAACAGTTTAAAATGTAATAAGAATGCAGTCCCTAACAAAAAATCACTTTACAGATGCATAAAGGGAGAGAAAGGGATAAATATGAAAAGAATTGAGTGTGATGTGGTTGGACTGCGAGCGGTGTTTCAATATATCCTATCAGCCGGGTATTAATATGATGTTCCTTCAACTTTGTAGAGCTTTTGAGCTCTCAGTCCACAGATGGATGAGGTGCTGAGAGCTGCTTCCCATCACAAACACGCAGGAGAATTTTAAAGAGGTACGAGCAGCTGCATACGCCACGTCAACTCATTCAACATGTCGGAGTGTAAAGATGCAACATCCTCTTTGTTCTCATCGTTAGTCCATCTCTGTTACAGCCTGATGGCTTTTTTTTTTTTCTTTTAAATTTCCTCATACATTAATGCTCATACAGCCACTCTTTTCCCTGCGTGTTCCACTTTGCTGGAGCAGATCCATACACCAGCAGAGATAATTATCCCCTCTTCAACTGGATCCAGAATCCAGCATTAAAAGCAGGGTACCTCGGCGCAGAGCCTGCGAAAAGCTGGTTTATGTCTGAGCAAACCTGTCAATCGCAGCGAGGCATCATTAGGTGTGTCTGTGCACAGCGTTCCTGTACAGGCAGTGTCTTTGAAGCTGTACCCAGCACTGGAATGGGCCCTCTCTCGTTGAAATATAGATATTTATTCAACAACATAAGTTTTCATTGAGAACAGAAATATTGATTCTCAGTTTCACGAGGTAGTTTGATACTCCAACATCTATATCTTGAAGCTTTACTGAGTCTCCTCTGGTCTGTGCTCTTATTGTTTGTCATCAGCCAGCGAGCTCTGCAGGGACGCCGGTTAACAAGCAGGTGAGTGTTATCCAGTCGCTGTATTGAACAGCAGCAGAGCTAATCAGCTGGTAACAACCGAATCCCCCTGAAAGCCAACTTACCAAGGTGTAATTGAACTATTAACTCTCCTCGGTGTCGTGGTGGCTGCTGGCAGTCCGGGAGCTGTACAGGAATGTATTGCACTGAGTTGACTCAAAAAAATTTAATTTAAAAAATGAGCTTGTTTTCTTTCAGTACTGAGCTTGTAGAAGATTTAGCTCAAAGTGTTTTTCTGTGGAGAAGTTTAATGAAGTTGTTTGGACCAGGAACTGTCAGAACTTAATAATTAGCATGGATGAACAGCTGAAACTGCAGTGAAATGCAGAAGAGAAACATCAAAACAAGACATGTTAAGTACCAAAACTCTCACTAAAACATACAGTATATTACCAACAGGGAGACATAAGAGAAAATGCTTGGCTATTGCTTGCTCCTCCCTCTTAACTTTTTTTTTCCATGAAAGCAAATTTAATAAATCAACATAAGCCTCAGATTTTTGCAACTACTTCGGCTCTTCATCAGTTCCAACAAAAGCTTTTATGAGGTTCTGAGTAGTGCTAAAGCAGTTAGTCAGTTAATCAATTAATGTCAACAGACCTAATTAACAACTCCTTTTTAAAAATCTTTTCATTTAAGTTTCTTCTTAGTTGTGAGATTTTTTTTGTGTGTAATTTGACTGAATATATGATCAATAATGAAACAGTTGTTAGTTGCAGCCGTACTTTTAGGTGAGAAATCGGCAATGCAGTGACAGAATATTGATTCATATTTGATCAGCACTGCCTGGCTTGACAGTTTGATCCGAGTTTGATGTTGAGCTGCACTGACTCATTGCGAATTACTTGTCGATCACAAGGTGGCCATGCCCTACAGCAGCAAACCTTTTTTCTTGGGA